CGCGTCGACCCTACGACAGTAGGATAAAGAGAAAGATGACCTCTAATCAGTATTATTAATGGGATAAAGATGATGGTAGTGAAAACTCTAATCCCTGATGATATTACATGCTTTTTTATCAATGTTTGACTCTTAATTTAACAGTTCAATGGCAATTGCTCATATTTACTGTTACACTTTCCAGTGAGAGTATATGTTGAAAACACGTTGACCTTGTCCTTAGCAGTCATTGTTACTGTACAGCTGATTGTTTATTTTTCTATGGAATGCAGACGTCGACAAAGAATAGCGTCCGGTAACGAACGAGTACGGGGCGGAACACACCTGCCAAGGCCGGAAGTTATGATGATGGTGGTTAGTATATATTATACTATTTTTTTATATTGATGTTTTGAATATTTATAAGATCAATATATAAACTTGATTAGTCTAACTTTTTTCCTTTTTGGGTAGTCATTTTTAATTAAACATTTTAATTTATACGGAGGTCCAACTTTAATGCCTTTTCATTCTCACCCTTTTTCTTATAAGAAAAGGATTGGAAGTGAAAATGGATTTGATGCTGGAGGAGACCCATAGAAATAGGAAATGTCTTTATGTACGTTTTCACCTCCGTCGATTAAAGAATTCTCTATTCCGAATGTCTATGGGCAGCGGTCGCTTCGCCATTTCAGCGGATTCAGATAGCCGCTTACTCGTTTGCCACCTTGATATAAAAAAATCTGGTATCTTTGGATTCGATATGAAACCGTATTTAATTTATAATTAATAGCGAGTGTTGTTTCCAGGCGTGGGATCGTGAGTTAGCGCTCCTGGCACAAAGGTTGGCAGACCAGTGTCACTTTGTGCATGACGATTGTCGCGCGACTGGTCGGTACTTTGATTTTCCTAGTGAAATTTTATAAATTTTCTTTTAGAATATAATGATATGAACACTTTGGGAAACAATTCTTATGCGTTTACACTCTTCAACATCGTTTAAGCTTTAAGTTAAAGATCAGAAGGAATCCATAACTAATCTTGGTTCCAGTGCGGTACCCATACGCGGGGCAAACGGTAGGCGAGGTGCGCTGGAGACGCTCCAGCGAATCGGATGAGTTGAGCGCACAGCGGGCGATACGACGGGTGTTTGACGCCTGGTGGGGCGAAAGGAGACGCGTGCAACCCAAACAGCTTACGATGCCCTTCAGACTTACTGCCAAGTTAGTAACATTTTACATTTATACACTAACTGCTGAAATTAGTGACGTTAAGAGTGACATTCGTACACACTTAATATGCGAAATTGCTATGAGAGCAGAGAACAATAATGTAATTAACAAGTTTTGGAGAGAAAAATAAAACTCAACCAGATCACCAGATGTCATGTGATTAACGCAGTCACCCAAGACTATCTTAAAAATATTGTTGTGTATAACTTTAATGTTTTTTTTAGGGGAACGGTTTGGGGTCACTTCAGTCAGATCGCCGTATGGACGCTGCAAGCGGTCGGTTGTGGCGCGGTACGACATGGCGCGGAACACCCGCGGCTCCTGCTTGTCTGCGATTTCTCACATACTAACATGCTTGGCCAGCGCACGCTAACACCTGGACCTATGGCGCCCTGTCCCATGCATACTGCAAGAAGATCGAGGTCACCGTATCCTTTGCTTTGTGGACCGGTGAGTGTACACATAGATCCGTTTTGTGTTTGATTTTTGGATACAACTTTTAACCTGACACGAAATGTTTCCCTGCTGTTGTAATTTTTCATAAAAACTTCATGTGTTTCGATCAGTCAGTGCACTTCCGATTGTAGTGTGCTATCACTCTTTGGTTCGTTCGAATCTTTTTTACATGATCACTAACGTTGCCTTTGACAGGTACGACATCATCTAGCTGAGCCTGATGAACCTGGGGACAAGAACGACGATACGCAGTATGACGATATGGAGAAAGACGACCCGGACGTGTACGACGAAGGTGTGACGACGGTCAAGGATAGACGGACTTCACAAAGGCCGCTGCCAGCGCCCAGGTTAGAGAAGAAACACCGCCCAGATCAGTACGAGAGGCTCATCGATAAGGAGGACTTCAGTTTGGATCCAGATGAAGAAAGTCCTATACAAGCTTTTAAAGGTAAACCTTGATATTCAGATACTATAGGATGAATAATGAATAAGCTGATATGAAGATTTAACATTAAAAAAATGAAAATCACGTTGGAAACGATTTAAAATTGTGAAATTAGAAACATTGATGTACGCGAATGACGTTTCTCTGGGCAATTATAACCATTTTCAAGTCAGAGGTCTATAGTTAATATGCAGCGGTTTGCATTTGTCATAATTTAGAAATTCACTGTTTTCTAGCTCCAGAGAAAGTGACAACAACGATTGTTGAGAAACTACAGCGCGAACTAGTCGACAATAAGAAGGAAAAGGTGACGTTAAACAAAATGTTTGACTGGAGATCGCGTTCGACCACACCAGTTAATTACCCGTAAGTTATCTTAAGAGGTGTTCTTGAAAACTCGTACAAAATATCTTCATTCTTCTACAGAGATAAAAAAGATCTCTAAAGAACTTTGTACAGTCTAGTTTCGGCAGCGGAAATACCAAAGTTCGATTTTTTACTTCATATTTTTAATCGAGTAAATAAATGTTTAGTAACGAGAGCTGGGAGAGTGGAGAAGAAATGACGACTGCGAAGATTAGAAAAATGAAATCAAATCCTGAGGAAGAAGTGATCAATGATGACCTCTACCATGCAACTAGGATGGAGGATACCACAACGCCTGTAAGTTTAAGCAGTATTGTTTTATAAAAAAGGCGGTTTGGTTCTATAATAGATATGAGAGTCAAAACAATTGGCAATTCCGAGGACCATTGTTTTTAAATTTAGGATTTTAAGGGCAACACATTTTAAAGACTTCAGTAATAAATTAAATAAATAGATTTATAAGACGTTACAAAGTTGTAATTTGTTTTTTTCGTAGGAGATGACTGAAAGACAACGATGGAAGCCGACAAGAGAACGTCCGCAAAGGTCTGTTTTTCAGCTACTTATATAGTTTTCCATTGTGAGTTTCTGAATCACCTTTGGTGGAGTTTGATCTGAGACAATCAAACGTAAATATTTTTTTATTTTTATTTTATTAAAAGCACTTATAATTTTTGGACACTTACAGGCCTGGAGCAAATGCACTGCTGAGTAAAGTACCAGAAAAAGCAATGAAACCAACAGCGGTTAGTATCAGTATTACTGTAACCGATTCCACAGCCATGACATTTATACAAAAACGTATTGTTGTCTCTCTCATTTTCATATAAAAAACGGAACAAAGAATATAATAGGTTTTATTCAATTTTGGCAGAACAAGGAAGAAAGATACGATATCTTCCGCGCCTTTACAAACGTTAGAAGACATGACTTGCTATTAGGCGAAGATTTAATTATTGAATATTGAAGTGGACGTTGTATAATGGTAGCTTACAAATTCTTTTAATTCAAGATCTTAAAAGCGGAATTAGCATTTGAAAATCTTTGCTCTGATCTAACATTTAGGGAAAACAAGATTGAAATAAGTGCTATCCATACAAAAAAATTAAAGAATATTAGGTAATTAGATCACATCAATCATATTCCTTTTTAAATGCATTTCCTTAGCGTAGATTTCTCCGATTCTATCTACACTTAGTGACAATAAAACTACTCTGTGCCAGTAAATGTAGTATTTAGTTTAATACTAAGTTGACTTATACTCTTTTATTTGCAGTCCTCCCTAAAATTGGACAGCGAAGATCAAGACCAGCTATTCCGCGATACAGGATTCAATGCCCAGTGGAGACAGGACTCGAAGAAAACATAAATACATATTCTTGAATACATGGTTGTTTTATTTTAATTTTTTTTTAACATTAGGTGGCAAATGAGCAAGCGACAACCTGAAACCGCCAAAATGGCGAAGCGACCGCTGCCCATAGACATCCGCAATTGCAGATGCGTTGCCTAACCTTATACGACGGAGGAGGAGACGCACATAAAGATATTTCCCCTTCCTATGCATCTCCTCCACCGTCAAATCCACTTCCTCTTCCCAACCTCTCCTTATAAGAAAACAGTGGTAAAGAGAAAGGGACTTAAATTAGGCCTCCGGCACCACCCTCATCAGACGAAACACGGAATTGCGTCCATTTCACGTCTGTCTTCTGTGTGGTCGTGGTATTACACCGGGCGTGCCGGCCCATTCGTGCTAAGATGTTAAAGCGGGCACTACCACTGACAAATTGCCTTCGGGGTTAAGCCATCCTATACCTTTCCATTTTAAACTTCGCGTTACTACATGTAACTAAATAGAATTAACCCTACTTAATAAGGGGAGGCTGGTAGTTTACTTTTATTCCAAAGACATTAAAACGTAATCCAGTTTTTTAATGAGAAACATTTTATGGGAAATCTCTTAAGGATAATAGGCACTTTAGTATTTTAAATGAATTTATAAGTTAATATTTACATTTTCTCTAGGCACTGGCGGCGACTGTCCCTTCTGCGTAGTGACCACCATGGACTTCTATATTTATATCTTGTACTTTGGTATCATCAAGCAGAATTTATCCCAAAAAATCCTACCAAAGTGTCATCAAAATCTGTCCACAGGTTATGAAAGGCACAGTGGATTGACAAACACTTTTTTTTTATGTAAAACTAGCTGTTCCCGTGCAACTTCACCCGCATGAAATTATGAAAATTGTATTTTATCCAAAATATTTACCCCCAAGTTCAATTGCATGAAAATATATAGTCTAAAGCGTGACGTAAGTGTAGGGCTATTTATTAAAAAAATAATTTTTCACAAATATACCGTAATTGCTGACATCTTACACCACAAAGAAATGTGTGTTTACGCTTTATTATAATAATATAGATTAGTATTCTGTGCATTTAAACAAAGACAATATTGATTGAGACCTATACTTTTTTAATTATCTTCTCTGTTTTGTTATTATATTTAGCTTTTACATTGTCAAATTTTTTTATATCCGTAAAATAGATTTAGAATATATATTTGTATAGTTTTATTATCTTATTTGTGATAAAATGTCAGACAGATCGTGTTGCCGGTGATCATATGTTCGGTGTTCATGGACAATGTGCTGTTGCTGTTGTTGCGGCTTTTGGGAGAAGGTCGTTAATTGGTTATACTGTATCGGCTCATATTTGGGATGCTTCCGAGTTCAGTGCAGATGTCAGAAATGCGACGACGAGGACGACAGCTTAATTATATTGGCAACATATTATGATGTAATTATTTCATTATCCGTCTTTCCAAATATCTCGGTAGATCCAACTGTGCAGTTTGCAGTTCCCTTTGCATCTTACGCCACGCTATACCAATTGTGTATTGCGCAGCGACTTGTAGTATGTTCTTAGCCCCCAAGATACGTAGAAACCTCAATACCATTTAGACCTTACAGTCAGCACTTTGATGTATTGACGGATATTAAAAGTGTCAGGGCTCCAAGTGCCTTTAGCCTATCCACAGTCTTTTCTGTACCCTTGGAGCTTTTACCATTTATGTGCTCGTACATTATCATAATGGTCCACACAAAGGAACCTTTTTCTATGTTTGTAAAAGTTTGCCTATGTTTTTTATATAATTTTCATTTTTTCAGTCATCCTTAAAGTTGGACAGCGATGATAAAGATCAATTGTTTCGTGAAGTCGGATTTCATTCCCCGTGGAGAAAGGACACAAAGAAAATATAAAGTAGTTGTGATTGCCACAAAGCAACTATTTCGCCCGGTTTTTAAAGGTCAATAAATTAAATTTATGATTATATTAATTTTCGTTTACTGTCATAAATTATTAGGGTCGATATAATTCGAATTTATGAATTCTAAACTCATGACAAAATATGTAAAAACACACGAATTGAGAATCTCTTTGAGGCAGTTGCCTGTAACGCTATTCCAAGAAGACAGTAATGCCTAGAGTCGTAATTACGTTCCTTAGAAGCCTTTAGCCGAATTAATTTAGTGGCCATTTAACCTAAAGCAAGGGTGAATATTTGTGGCGACAGAGTTCCACTATCGGCATCTTTTCATGATGCCGTCTCGAAGAGTTTAAAAACGATTATTTTGATAGGCTGAGGCTTAAATAAAAAGATGGTCTTCATCACCTTATTTTGGGAGACATGAGTATGTGTTAAGACGGTGGAGATTCGTTGGTACAACATTTCAAAGACAACACTAATGACATATCGCCTTTACCTTTTCTGTCCCAAATTCTGTTTTGTTTGATGACATTTATTGTTTTGACAATGTCAAAATTTTTGATACACATAAAACAGATTTAGAAAATGATACATTCCTACAGTTTTCTATGGATATATTTATAAATACGAGATGTCTCGTAAATCGCGGAGTCGATGATCGAATGGTCGGTGTTTGAAGACAATGTGTTTCTGTTGTTGTAACTTCTGGGAGAAGTGCGTGAATTGGATGTACTGTATCGGTTACTGCTTGGGATGTTTCCGCATCTGCGGCTGCCAGAAATGCGGCGACGACGACAAAATCGACGACGATATTTTCGACAGAGAATTAAATTGCAGTAGTATTAATTATCGAAGGCATTTTTAATTTCAAAACGTACGTAATCATATACACGACCAGTAAACGTAGAATAAATTTCATGATATCTGCGTATGGTATTTAACATTGGCCTACAATAATGCACGTTTAAAGTTGGCTTTTCTATCAGACTATCATTTTGATAGGGTAACCCGCATAGTAAGAAGAAACTTCCTGTTTCACAAACAAGTGAAAAACATCAGAAAGAACGAAATCTTTCTAAACACCAGAAAATTTACAATATAGGTATTGCGATTGAATAATTTAATTCGGTAGTATGTGGCAATGTTCCATACAATTGTTGATCTTAGTATAGGTTTTCTTAGTTTATAGAAGTTTGTTAGCGGAAGGAGAAACTACTCGTATTAACTACGCAGTAGTCAGCACAAAAGGCAAGGATTCAGCAAATAAACTTCTAATCTTACGTAAACTGGTTACGCAAATTTATTATTTATTATAAATTAATTAATTCAAAATATAATATCAAATACATTTGTTTGTACACAATACCATTAGGAGCAAATCCTTGTTTTACTCAATTTATATAGGCCAGTATCTTAGATTATTATTAGTAAAAATTAGATTTTTAAACATAAACTAAAAATATAAACCTAGTAATCGATGTTTACCAGCTGATATAAACAGTAAATGATGTTACTTACCAATTTTCATCTAAATAACGCTTCGATGCGAATAAGTCTACAGCGAAGTTAATAAACACAGGTTATTTATAATTATCAATATCAAACTACATATTTAAAAATTAACTGCTTATACCCTTTATCTGATTTGGAAAAATAAAGGCGCGATTTCTAACAGATGTCAAAACGTCATAGAGAAAATAGAATATTTAACCAATCAAACAGATAAAAAACAAGAATGAATCAACTTATTACATATGTCACTTATGTTCGGTGTTGCTATCAAAATTATGTTTATAGGAGAAACATTTATTAAAAATAATAAAACAATGTCTCTGATTTTTATAATAACATTCGAGTGTCACTAAATTATTTCCCAAATATTAAGTTTTAAAAATTATTATCGGAAAGAATCGGTGTAATCACCGATAGATGATAAAATATTAAAGAGTTGATGTTAATTTTGGTGCTATATTATATAGAAGAATTTCAGTAGGCATCCAAATATTTCTTTCACGAAATTCGATGTTTTTTCAAGCTATTGGTGCATTTTTTGCACGAATGTGAATTTAAAAGGAATTTATCGTATTAAAATTCAGAAACAAAGCAGCGATGTGTTGCATTTGCGGACCAAGTTGTATGAGGTGCATCAGATGTCTACTTTGTATCACTTTATGCGTTTATTTACTAAGGTTATGTGGTGTAGAGGACAGTGACTGTTGTAATCCTGATGATTATTAAAATTGCTTTTATACGTTCGTTTTGTTTTACATTGAATTAGCGAATAACAGAGTAGGATATCTTCGTCTCTTACCCTTATCATTCCTTCATTTCCATTTCTCAGAAATGAAAAGATAATAGTAGTAATAAAGAGATATAAGTTGACAGTTCTAGGGTGGCTGCTAGCTCAAAATTACTAGAGAAAAAAAAAACAGTTCACAAAAATAAAAAATATTATTTAAAAATGTCATTTTTATTTACATGTATAATATAAATGATTTCAAGGCAAAATAAGAAATTTTTAATTACAAAAACTTGTGCTTCTATTACATAGCTTTAAAGTAATCCAGCACACATTAATGATTCCAAGTTGTAGGATCGTCCGATTTTTCATAGATTTAATTCTTCCACTTTATAGACTGAAAAAAAAAATATTTATAATCAATTAAAAAAATATTGGACCTTTAGTAAATCTTCTTTCTATTTTACATTTGCAGATATTTATATTAAATTTTTTACTGCTGGCAACCACAGTTTATTTAAATGTATACATACTGAGTCTCTCAAAGTGTTCTCAGCATAAATGTAGTCTTCAGTCTGCGGGCTGAGAGTCATTTTGTAGTTGGTGAGCGCGGTGCGATCTTTCTGTTTAGCGAGGGTTTCTATTACCACAGAATGTACCTGAAATATGATTTTTCATATATTTAAAGTGAACTCTTACTATGGATTTAACTTTCGATAACTTTTATTTTGTAATGATTCAAGTGCCTGATGTCACTGATCTCTATAAATGGATAGGTTATTGAAATTACATGGACTTGAAAATGCCTGTTGATGCTTATATCCAGTTAATTTTCTCTCTATAAGTTTGAACTAATTTAAATAAATCTATACTAATATTACAAAGAGAAAAGATTTGTATTTTTGTATGTATTCGATTCGATGTACGTAAAATTTACTGGGCTGATTTTAAAAAATCTTTCACCGTTAGAAAGGTAATTTATCTATGAGTGATATAGGGTATATTTTTAAATGTCACGCGAACGAATGCGCGAGCAACAGCTTTTATACCAATATTATAAAAATACTATTATATTAATAAAATAACTCGAAAACTACTGGACCGATTTAAAAAAAATTACCTTTAGAAAGGTGATTTATTTGTATTTTTTAAATTAATGTGGAATAAGTCGCGACCGACAGCTAGTACCTTGCGGAGAAGGAAAACATCGTGGTGTCTTCTCGTATCGGCGAAGAAATTCAAAGATATGCGTGAAGTCAACCCGCAGTGCAGCGTGGTTGACTATGGCCCAGTCACCCCTTATTAGGGTAGGCTCCGAGCCCCCCTTTGCTGGTTGAGAGCTCGATGAGGAGGGCCCGAGGGTTTTTAGTGGGTATAGACGAACGTCTTTAGGCGAGTCCCACACTCCCTGCGCCACTGGTTTTGGCCCGGGGTAAGGGCGGGTAAGTGCATTTTCCCTCGTACAAAAAGACTCCGATGATGATGATAATAATGATTATGATGATGATGATAATGATAATAATGATAATAATGATGATGATGATAATAATGATTATGATGATGATGATGATGACATGTAGTAAATAAAAGTGAGACCTTATACTTATATGCTAGTCTCAGTCTTTCGTCGGTGGCCAGGGTGGCGAGCGCGGCGGCGAGCAGGGCGCGCGCGCGCTCCTCGCTCAGCCGCGACAGCAGCCGCTCTACTGGGATGTGACTTGACAAAGTGGTACGTCCCAACCAGTCCTGGAAAAAAGATATATATCATACTATCATACTAATACTAATATTATAAATGCGAAAGTTTAGATGGATGGATGTTTGTGAGAGTTTGTAGCCTAAATGGCTGAACGGATTACTATGAAATTTGGTATAGATATAGAGGATATTCTGGAACTCATAGGGTACTTGCTTTTTTTTTCTTTAATTCCACGCGGACGGAGTCGCGGGCGAAAGCTAGTATATATAGTAAATAACTCATTAATGTAGAACAAGGACTACGCAACAAAAACTGTGCAAAAAAGAGTACGGACGAAGTCTGTAGATGTTGATTTAAAAAAAAACAATCCTGTAGTAAAACTATCTATCCTAATGTTATAAATGCGAAAGTTTAGTTGGATTGAAGTTTGTAGCCTAAATGGTTTAAGGAATTTTGATGAAATTTAATATAGATATAGAGAGTCTGGAAGAACATACAGACTACTCTCATTTTTTTTTTTAACATAAGGTGGCAAAGGAGCAAGCGGCCACCTGAATCCGCCAAAATGGCGAAGCGACCGCTGCCCATAGACATCCGCAATTGCAGATGCGTCGCCTACCCTTATCCGACGGAGGAGGAGACGCACATAAAGAGGATATTTCCTCTTCCTATGCATCTTCTCCATCGTCAAATCCACTTCCCCTTCCCATCCTCTCATAAGAAAAGGGTTGTAAAGAGAAAGGGACTTAAATTAGGCCTCCGGCACCACACTCATCGGACGAAACACGGAATTGCTTCCATTTCACGCCTGTCTTCTGTGTGGTCGTGGTATTACTGGGGGCGTGCCCTGCAGTGCTAAGATGTTAAAGCGGGCACTACCACTGTTACATACACTAATCAACTGTGCATATAAATTTTAACATTTACAATTGAAAGTTTTACATAAGTAAACAATAAAATAAAGTTTTTATGACATGTGGAAGTACGGGAACTGCTGATTTATATATATTTAAATAGCTTATCATACCTTTTTAGTGAATAGTGATTCAACTATATCCCATTTGTTAGCGTTTGCGTGCACATTCAAGACTACCCACTCGTACTGAAGGGGGCTGATCTGGAACAAAATGTATACATTTTTTTTTTATGCGGCCTTTTTTTGCCGCCCTCGTCGTTCCCCTGACATATAATAACTCAGGGACCTGGGGTTCGGGTATAATAATTTTTTCATAAAATTTTTATTTACAGGGATTCTTAAAATGTATACATATCGCAATCAGAAGAAATTAATTTGAATTTAAGTCATAATTAGAACTCGAGCGCCGCCGAGCGACTTTCGTGAGAACTTAGATTATTCTGAAAATAGGGATCGTTGTGAGAATATTGTTTGAACGATATGAGCTTGGTAGATCGATGATATCCTGACTGAGGAGTATTGTGTATTCCTGGCATCCGACTTTACCCATGAGCGCCCACATGTGATCTCGAGTAATAGTAATTCTGATATCGTGCTAGCTCAAGCCGACATATATATTCCAATCTATATTCATGTAATAAAGGGTAACATTTTGTTATGTCGGATGTCAGCAATCAAAGTATATTATTGAAGTATTACATCTTAAGGTCGGGGAGCGTCGGTGGCTTAGTGGTTTAAGCACTTGACTTGTAAACAGGTATTGGGTTCGAATCCCGCTGTACCAATGTGATTTTCGATTTTTCGAATTTTCATATGTGTATAATTTACCCGACTTTCTTACGGTGAAGGAAAATGTAAGACATGCTTTGGGCTACATATATTCACGCTATTAAACTTAAGGGATAAGTAAATTGGAAAAATTTGTTATGCGAGGAAGAGACAAAAACAAACCAATGACAAAGTAACAAGGTTAATTGAGTTTTTAGCCAATGACAAGTGCTTTTCTTGTTATTTGAGTTGAGTTTGAGTATATATAACGTTTTACGTTAACGTTTACTGAATGTAAACAATAAAGTTTGGAAATGTAAACAATGAAACCGCTTGTCAAATATAAATCCTAATAGATATGTTAAGTTACTATACCATTATTTTTAAATTTATAATTGAATCTGGGATTTTCAAAGAGAATATGAAATACAAAAATGATGGGTGATCAAAAAGGTGAAGGTTACCTGTTGCCGCTGGCACAAAGTGAGAGGTGACATGATGTGGCCCGCGCCCTCCGCCCAGTGCAGGCGGCAGCAGTGCGCGAGGCACTCCAGTGACGACTTGTTGTTCAACTCACTCTTCTTTGCGAAACTCTGCCATTCTACAAATAGTTATAAATATAGATTATGTTAGAGGAAATTTGAGAGTAGCCCCAGTGGTAGAGAAGGTAAGGAGTAAAAGGTTAGCTTGGGCATATTATGAGGGATGAATCGCATGTTACAAGAATGTTAGTTAAGAGTGTGGTACAATGACAGAGGTAGGCCAAGAAAGAGATGGATGGATTGCGTGAAAAGTGTCATGATCAAGAAGGGAGTGATGACGTATGATAGAGTTATTTCGAGGACAAGAACCTGTCGCGCCGACACTACGGGAGAAGGTTAAGTAATAATTAATTTTAAATGCTAGTGAGCAACTGTGATTATTTATTGTGTTGATGTCGGCAACATTCTGTCTATGATAGAGTAAAGAATAAATAAAATTACAGATAACAAAAGGACATTGTAACTAGTCTATGAACATCAGTCACTTCGCTAATTCGCTTTTTAAAATACAACAGAATTAGAAAGAAAGAAATAGAAAAATCTAAACAGAACTCTAATATTCAGTACTGCGAAAAAACTAACCTAATAATTTGACGTAATCCGCAACCATCTTTGTTTGGTGTGCGTCAACTCCGGGCTGGTTGAAGTGATTTGCTAACAAATTGTTAGTTTTCTTCAGCAAGCTATCCACATTGTTGCCTTGATTCTTTACTGTATGTTGAAATTGATAAATCTGTTGATAAAACATTTTTTTTTAATAAAGTGTATTAAAAAACGGCGAAAATATATTATTGATGTGTTTGAAATCATGCAGAAACCAATACTGGTAGAATATGTATGGTCAAGTTGACCAAATGTAAAAAACAATTATAAACATGTATATTAGTCTATGAAATATGAAAAATATACTTACAGCTGAATCTGAACTCCGTCCTAGCATTCTGAAACAGTTAAGTTATCTATATTAGCGGTCGCCAGCGACTTTTCCAGCACGGAATTAAAAAAATAACCACTTATAGTCAAAGTCCAGTCAAGAATAGTCTGATACTAGGTTTAACAATAGGTTTTACTCTCAATTCCGTGTGCAAGGAATTAAAAAAAAAGTAAGTACTATTTTTTCAGACTATGTTCTACATATATGCCAAATATCAATGACATTGATTCAACTGTCGAGGCTGTGAACCATCCATCCATATATGTATATCTACAAATTCATCTAAACTTTAATATCTATAATATTAAGGGCCTGTCCCACCACTGGCTGGTAAAGACTCAGATAGCTTAAATGACGTCACTGTCATATAAAGGACCAAATCTGATATTTCCATCACATGTTTTACACATTGGATTATTATTAGACAATTTACAATGTGGTGGGACAGGCCCAAAAAGAACTTTGTGTTCTTTCAGATTATGTTCTACATCTATACCAAATTTCATCGAAATCCATTCAAATGTTTAGGATGTAAACTCTAACATCCATCCATACTATCCTGTAAACTTTAATATTTATAATATTAAGTAAGATGTACTTAAAAAGGCAATAATTAACTTACGTCAGCAAGTCTGTTAGTTCGGATATCTTTCCCTCTGATTGCAGATTACCTATATAATGACTGAGCGCTAAAGGTCGTGATGATAATAATTCATATACAATTTTCTTGTTTAATGTTTGTATTAGAAATAATACAATCTGAAAAAAAAGAATAAATGTCCAATGTCATTTTTACCTAATTAAGAAATGCAATTATAGTGGTTTATAAAAGATTACAAATCCAAGGAAAAAATAGTCTTGTTTAAAAAAGTGAGGTTATCTTAATAAAATTGCTTATTTGCTAATTTATTTAATATAACTATATTTTTAATAGCGATATAACATTTAATGAACAGATGAGAAATAACTTGTTTTGTTTTTTATTAGATTTTACCTGCAACTTAAATAAAAACTTAGTAAGTAGACTGTGGTCTTTCAGACTACTAACTGTACCAAATTTTATTATAATTCATTAAGCTGTTTCCTGGATATGTAATAACATCCATCCATCCAAACTTTTACATTTTTTACATTACTAGCTGTGATATAGAAATAAGATATATTTAATTTTAGATTTAAACACAGTAAACTTTTTTTTAAATAAAAACACCCACATCCCAGGAGTGACAAAAAAATTCACACAGGATTAAAGATGGTTAAGTATCCTGTGTTCTTCTATGTCAAATTACATGAAGATCTGTTCAGCTGTTCTAGTCACCTAACAAACATCCATCTAAACTAACTCATTTATATTAGTAAGATTATGATACTCACAGTAAGTATGGCATTACCATCTCCAATAGCAACCGCTCCATCTAACAGTTCAGTTTTACTTTTAAGACTTTTGTGTACATGTAATGCATAACTACGCCCAAGGACAAGTCTTTTTAATGTTATGGCAACTGTTTCTTCTGGCTCTGATTTACCTTTTATATCCTTCCCTGATTGTGCGAGTACCACTGTTGAAAATTATAAACTTGCTGTTCAGATAGTATGAAAAGTTATTTGATGCAGTGTAGTGTATGCCACAATTGACTGACACAATGTGATGATGACACTTTTTATTTAAATACTGGCTGTTGCATGTGACTTAGTCCGCATGAAATTAAGATGTTATCTATACTATTATAATAAAGCATAAACACACACTTCTTTGTTGCCTAAGATGTCAGCAATTGCAGCACATATTTCAATAATTCTTTTTTTAATAAAAAGCCCTACACTTATGTCACGCTTTAGGCTATGTATTTTAACACCATTAAACTTAGGCGGTTAAAATTTTGGAAAACCCTAATGTGGGAAAGAGACTATAAGTTGCTACCAACATCAAAGAAGCAAGTTTGCCGAGATTTATCATGTCATGTAATTTTGTCATTTGTCATTGATATTTTGACAAATGTAAACAATAAAATAAAATGTTCATAATTTCATGCGGATGAAGTCGCACGGGAACAGCAAGCAGAAAATACAGCCTATGTTACTCACTGATTAAATAACTTCTAATGGTGATAGAATTGAAATTGGGCCATTAGTTTTTGAGTAATTCCAAAACATACAAAGATACAAATCTTTCCTCTTTGTATTATTAGTACAGATACAGTAGCTATCCACAATTGTGAGTATGCATGATAGAAACAAACTATAAGTAATAGAATATGAGTTCTTCCAAACTATGTTGTCCTTGCCAATTTTCAGAGATACGTTAATATTTAAACTTACATAGATCCAAGACCTTGGATGATACTAAGCTTGATATTGGCACTAAAGCTGGTTTAATATTGCTAATATTTGAATTGAGTATTCCTTCTTCGCCAGATCCTGAATACGGCTTCTGTCCAATGGCTAATATCTCTTGCGGTGAAAGCTGAAAACAACGTATAAATGTATAAGAAAATGGTATACAGTTTTAACTTACGTATTAGGTTTGAATCAAAACTTACTACATCGTCGTCAAAACTAAACGCTTTAGCCTTTGTTTCACTAGTGTTCCAGTAATCATCATCATCCATATTGAAAGTTATAGTTGTGAAATCTAATGATAATTAGTTTTTTGAAGAATACTGGAATAACTATACATATAAACATAAACACCAAAATTTGACATATGATAGATTGACAGTTGACGGCTACGTTTAAAAATTGATAATCTTTTGCGAACATGGACTAATTAAATTGTAGTAACAGTTAAAAAATAACAATTTATTTCAATTCAAATACTGAACTTGTGCAGGTTCTTACTTTAATTGTGAAAAACTAAATCACTTCCCTTCACTCCTGGTAAGAGATCGCTTTTGCGCGGTAAAGACGGAATGTGCGTTCAAAAAGAGCGCCAAATTCAAACGTACATGTTGAAGAGTTTTTCATTTACACCAATAATTCAATAAATTTTATGTTTAATAGCTGATGTTTTTCTTGACAAGCATAATTTTACTTAATCTTTTATGTACTTACGAGATTAACTATATGATCAATAAATTTAACAAATATTTTGTGGTTTTAGTTACTACCTTTTGATTGTATGAATGAAGAATAATAATAATTATCAGTTTAGCAATAGTTAACCTAACCAAGTTAATATGAAATGTCATTGACACACATTTCTGATATATTTGTATTGGGGATTAGCCTATTGCTCTAATAAAACTGAATATCGTTCTTGCGTTCGTTGTGTAAGTGTAATCCACACTTAATTATTGCAATGGGTTGTACTATGGTTTAACTAACGACCTTGAAACGTAAAGGTGAAGATATCACAATAGACACAGGATTTAGGTTCGAAATTCGATTTTGTAGGTTTTTTTTGGATTGGGTCGTTTCTAATTTACTTCTATTCGAATTGTAAAATGTACATCATGTTATAAAAATATTGTTCACAGAAATGTGATTTTTTCGTGACATATTGCACTTATCAAAGTAATAATATTTTTTATTACTCGTCCACTAATACACACGTTTATATTTAAAACTAGCTGTTGTTCGCGACTTGGCCCGCGTGAAATTAAAAAAAATAATAAAAATGTGACCTATATTACTCAGCGATAAAGTAGCTGTCAATAGGTGAAGGAATTTTTGAAAGCGGTCTATTCGTTTTTGAGTTATTTTAATCCATACAAAAATACAAATCTTCTTTATAATATTAGTATAGATTACGATCAATGTAGGGAGGTTCGTTTAAAATACGTTTTAATTCAAACTATCTAATTCTAAACAAACTTTGCATTTGTGATGTATTTTTAAATTCATTTTAGAAGTTTTTTAGTATGTCCAAATAAAAAAAATATCTTTAGTTAATCTTCTATAAATTTCAGTAGGCGTAGTCTTTGCTAGTTATTCAAAAAACAGTGAGGTAGGTAACCCGTCTTCTTTTGAAGGTTTCTAATACTATTTGAGGAAAGGTTAAACGTCAAGTCAAGTACGGCCAAGATCAGTTGGCCGTCAAACAAGTTTGTACTCAATTCGGATTTTGTTCTAAGCAGTAATTCTAATTTAATAACTTATGTCATAGTTTGCCGTTTAAGAAACTTGTGATGCTCATTGTCCATTTATCAATATAACCGTGCGTGTTCACTCATGTAAAAATAAAATGCTGTCCCACTCATTCTCCTTGAAATAAATGAGACATCAGAATTTTTATATAGGCGTTTTGGTAGTGCAAACTTACCGTACAAGTGAAAGGACCATAGCCGAGTCTGTTGCAATGTTGAATAACGTTTGCTGCGTGCAGAAGTGTCGCTCGTAAAAATTGCGTACTGGCTGGAAATTTTAATTTGGAGAAATAAATAGAAAAGAAACTCTGACAAGCACAGTTTTTTTTAAGTGTAAAAAGGTTTTATATGTGATTTAAAAATGTTATTATCTCGGAAACTCCTGTTTTCCCCTGAACCGGGAATTCTACGACAATATGCAGTGGTGATTTTCGGTAAGTAAACGAATTTTACAAATTCTACATAACCTTATAACTACCATAATGATGTTTTCTTTTATTTCTTTCTGTTCTTTTAAACTTAATTGGTTTTATTTTGTTTCCTCCATAAATTGCCAATAGTAAAGAAAAAAAAATCAAAACATATTTTTCAAGCGTTTCTTTTCCTGTTAATTGTAAAATTCTTTGAATTATGCTATTAGTCCACCGTTTATTTAGTCTCCCAATCTTTATTTTCCTTTTTGGCCCTCACTTAATTTATTTAAATATCCAGGGAACTTATATGGTAACAAAAATAACAGATTTGCCCTCTACAGGTTTAGTACTTAGAAGTTGGAAGTAGGCACAAAATAAAATCAAAGATTAAGTGGCCAACGAAGACGTTGCCGCTTCTTCGAAACTATAATCCTCTGTTTCATTCAAACGAGGTGAGAATAAGGACGCGTTGCAACTTTTTGGCGCAAAATAATATAGTGAATCTTTCGTAGAGTAAATCTATTTCATCTATCTATGTATTCTATTTTAAACTTTCGTCGAGTAGTGCAAGCTTATATTTGGACGAATAAGGTTACAATAAGTTCGATAACATCAGATAAGCCTTCGTTATTATTTATAACCAGGGCCGGTTTTAGCATTCCCTGCGCCCTGGTTGAGACTTTTACGGCGACCTTTATCCGTAATATAAACCCTTATAGAAAAGGCATAAAGACGCACCACGGGCACCCACGTCGCCTGTGACTCCCTTCATTTCTGTCGCCCTGGGCTTTCGCCTTACCTCGTACTACCCTAACGCTGGTACTGGTTCTAACCGATTATAAACTCAACTGTCAGCTGAACAGTTGAAGTTAAAGTCTTCACTCGCACAGTTTACACTGAAGAGTCACTGGTCAGTTAAAACTGTTAGAACTAAGCGTATGTTGCGGGCTTTAGAAAAACGAGACTTAGAAGCAACAATTAATATAACATAATCTTACTAATTTTATGAATGCGAAAGTTTAGATGGATGTATGAATGTTTGTTAGAGTTTGTAGCCTAAACTGGTGAACAGATCTCGATGAAATTTCGCAAAGGATAAACTGGAAGTACATATAAGCTACTTACTTTTGTTTTCTAATACCACACAGACGAAGTCATGGGCGAAAGCTCTGCAATAATTATAAAAATTGTTTAGAATTCAAGTTCAAGCGTTCTTTTATTTACCTCTATTACATAACTCAGGTCAATTAAGTTACAATGTAACTTGTATTATATCACACAGGACGTGCCTCACTTTAGACTCATGCATTATAAAACGATTGAGTACAGCAAAAATAGACAATGCATATTAAAAAAATGACTGTCTCTACGTAATATGGAATAAAATATATCTAGAACATGATGTGTTTACGTTGCTTATAATTTTGTTTTGAAAACTTTTGTCTGTCTGTCCGCAAGAACGCGGTTTTACACGATAACCTCCGTTAGGACGAGACCGATTATATCGTAACTTTCAAATAAAGGTAGATGATGTAGGCCGGAATATTAGAATGTAGAATATTAGTTATATTTAAAAAAAATCAACGCAATTTTATGATTCTCGCATGCGTGTTTGGTAAAGACGATTTCCATTCATTATAAACAAATAAGGTTTTATTAATTAAAGTTTTTAATCCATTTGATTTTTAACCAATGAATTACAACCCTTTACTTAGGTAGGCTCAGAGCTCCTTTAGGGGGAAAATATAGTGAGCTGATGAAGATGAAGGGATTGCAAAAGCAACCAAGATTCCATCGTTTAGAAGAGAAAAGATTCATTTTATACTTCCTTCCACACCAAGTGCGTTCATATTTACAGCCTTACAAGTAAACGCGGTATAAAGATAAACTTAGAAATAAACTAATACCAATATATTATTATAATAATAATATATAATCAGGTTGGATCGTAATCAAACGCGTAGCTTAACAAAAATGTATAACAAATATTTCCTTTTTGACCGACTTCCCAAAAGAAGGAGGTACTCAATTCGTCTGTAGGTTTTTTTATGTGTGTTATACTCAGTTTATTCCTAAGTTTAAATTAATATAATTATCTGACCAGTGTTGAGCACCAATTACTGTTTATATTATTATTTAGTTAGATAATATTCAAAGAAACAATAAAAAATAGCTTCACGTGTTTCATATTATGTAAGTATTCTAAAAATAGTCAAGTTTTAGAGGAAAAGTACTGGCTTAATTTGAATTTATGATAATTTTAACCAAAAAAAAAAAGATTTTCTCACACTAAAGCACATAATTTTGCATTTTTAATTTACTACTTTAAAATTAAATGTAAATGAATAGATGAAATTAAATTGACTGTGACTGTTTAACAATTGCATAAGTCGTTGTTAGAGACGATTTTTGTTACTGATTTATTTCTGTTCTTCTTGAAGAGGTATTTACGAGTGCAGTTTTACAAGACTTGAGGTAGCCGAGCGGAGATAACGTTTAACTTAAATCTCGTTTATGGGCCCTTGAGGACTCCCTCAGGAGCCTCGGCTTAGGTCTTTACTTCGTTAAAACTGTAACTTATTTAAATACAGGACAGGAGAAGAAATGTACAAGCGCCGATATATGTATAGATTTGTGATTTTTAAAATATTTTGCTCGTAACACTATCGTTATTGTCATTTGTTATTCTATTTAAATGTGTGATTTCCTATTGGAATCAATTCTTTCCTATCGATTTCCTATAAAACCAGTATTAAGACCTGTTTTGCCTATCTTTGTAAAAGATTGCAGCTTTCATTTCCAGTTACCTTATAAATAACATTACAAGGAATAATAATTGAATTTCGTTATAAAAGTTTATATAAACAAGTGGTCGCTGATTATTCGAAATTACAGTTTTTTTTAAATACTTTTTAAACCCCTGTCCACATTAACTGTCAACGTTCGTTCTTTTTTTAAAAAGGTATGCAAATGTTTTGCTTCATCTATATCTTTACTTATCTATACCAATAGTATAAAGAGGAAAAAAAAATATTTTTGTGTGTTGAAATAACTCAAAAACTACTAGGCCGAATTTAATAATTCTTTCACCATTAAAAAGCTACGTTATCAGTGAGTCACATAGGCTATTTTTAATTCATGCGGGCTAAGTCGCGAGCAACAGCTAGTGCATTAATACGATGTTTTATCTGTGCAGTAAATCTAAGCGTGTTGACGACAGGCATGAGTGTAGCATGGCCTTCACCAATGTTGGTCAAACTCACCAATGCCACGGAGACACCTCTATACCGTACAATTACTGAGGAAGAAGGGTCATGGATTGTATCTATTGGATTTCTTTGCACCGTGTTTAGTGAGTAATTTTAACCCTTTATTTAGTGTCTGATTCTTGGAAGTTCTAGAAATTCCTTCCTAAAAACTGAACAGGAACGTAACAATAAAGCAGCCTTTAGTGTCTAGATCAATTCAATTCAACAATTATAAAATTTCAAATCAACTGAAACGAAAAAAACCTCTAAAACATCAAGAACAGAGTTTTATCAAAGAGTAGATTGTCATAGATTAAGCATAGGTAAATTCTTTCTCTTTGGTCTGTCTGACGATGAGTCGGCATTTTCGTATTTTAAAAACCAATATGTATGTAGTTTTTTTCTTTCAGCAAACATCCTTTTAGGTATGTTAATCGATAGTATCGGCAGAAAGTACTGCGTGATAATAGCTTGTGTTCCAAAGATTATTGTCAGTATTATCTACATATTTGCTTCTGATGTATGGATGCTGATATTGGGACGAGCACTTATTGGTGTCACAGACTCTTTTGTATTCACTGTCGTGCCTATCTACTCATCAGAAATAGCTAGTGTAAGTACATTGATATTATGCCACTAAACCCCTCTGTTCCCTCCTGGCCATTGTGTGGGGCGCCACGGGATCGCTTTCGCTATCTGTCAGGTGCCCTGGGCGGTCATTATGCTTAGTTCTTTGTAGCTAGACTACTCTGTGGTTACAAAGGTTACGATTGCTAGATGCAAGTCCAAAGATAAAGGTTACCAGCCATTAGTCCTTATAAATTCTATTGCTGCTAATTTTTTTTTACAGAAAGAAATGCGAGGTTCCCTCGGCACCTTTCTGCAGATATTCTCATCCTTGGGTATTGTGGTCACTTTATCAGTAGGACCGTACACGTCGTATACAACATTTAACACAGTCTTCGCTGTGATTAACGTAGTTGCTGGTATACCGCTACTCTTTCTGCCTGATAGTCCGTTCTTTTTATATGCAAAAGGTAAGTGTCAGTAAAAATATTTTGTTATAGTAAAGGTCTTTTAAATATGGCCAATTGAATTTGGAAGTAAAGTACATAAATCTCGTGCAAATATTGTCGATTATATTACAATGGATGATACAATTGGTTTCTGGCAATTTTCTATACTAGGCCAGGATATGTCCAGTTAACAGTAAGGTCGACTGTCCATACGAATAGTTCCGTCTCGTTCTAATAACTTAAAAAAGCAAAGATAGCAGCATTCTTTTGTTCAGCTGTTAAAGTGGTACTTCACGGATGGAATTTACAAAAGCATACGTAATTGTACATTTGAACCGCTGACAAATGATGTCAATTGTTTATTTTTGTGTTTTTTTAATAACAAGTAATTTTCAGGTAAAACAAATGATGCACATGACGTATTAAAACTTCTTCGAGGGAATGATCAATTGGCAAAAGAAGAGATAGCAAGTTACGCGTTATCGACCGATAATAAAGTCGACAAAATAGCATTGTTAAAGAATAGAGTTGTCCTTAAAAGTTTGGGTGTAGCAATGCTTTTATGCGCGGGTTCGCAACTAGTCGGTTTTAACGCTGTATCGTTTTATTTGCAAACGATTCTGGTATCCACAAGAACGAAGGTAAAGCCGGAAATTGCCTCGGTTGTTATTGGTGTGATACAACTGTTTGCAAGCTTTTGTACCACTGTTATGATGGAGAGGTTCAAAAGGAAACAGATATTAATATCATCATTGATCGGAATGCTTATTGGACTAGTGAGTATTTATTATCTACTAGCTGTTCCCTTGCAACTTCATCCGCATGAAATTATGAACATTTTATCTTATTTTTTACATTTGTCACATTATCAATTACAAATGTCAAGATGACAAGACATGATGACAACCTTGCTTCCTTGATGTTGGCAGCAACTTATGGTCTCTTTCCCACATTAGAGTTTTTATCCAAAATATTTAACCCCTAAGTTTAATGGCGTTAAAATATATAGCCTAAAGCGTGACGCAAGAGTAGGGTTTTTTATAAAAAAAAGAATTATTTAAAAATATGGTGTGATTGCTGACATCTTAGGCAACAAAGAAGTGTGTGTTTACGCTTTATTATATTAGTATAGAAGTATAGATAGATATGTATCTATACTATTATAATAAAGCGTAAACAAACACTTCTTAGTTATGTAGAACGTCAGCAATCACAATATACTCGGTAGAAATTATCCTACTTCTTACTAATATTATAAATGCGAAAGTTTAGATGGATGGATGTTTGTTAAAATTTGTAGCCAAAACTACTGAACCGATCTCGATGAAATTTGGCACAAACGTAGAGGATAATCTGGAAGAACACATAGGCTATTTACTTTTGTTTTTTCGCGTCGCGGACAAAAGATAGTTGGATATTTTTAATATAAAAGGTCTTAGACGTTACGACTTTAGACTATATTTTCACGCTATTAAACTTATGAAGTTAATAAATTGGAACTTATGTACTCCATAAGGAGTACCACTATTTAACTAAATTACTTGTATGATCGTGCTTATAATAGTTATTTGCTTTTTTCAGGTGGGATTGGGTGCGTTCTTCAAAATACGCGAGGATGCCGAAGTGCAAGGTTTCTTAAATTATTTGCCGTTAATATCGCTTATCCTTGTGGTATATTGTTATAGTGCAGGTAAATATTAATATTACAATATTATTTAGTATTATTACGCGTATTTATAGACTAAAATTAAAACAAAGAAAAGAAATAAACAAAAAAAACAACCTTCCTTTTTTGAAGTCGGTTCATAAACACAACTAATGAATCGTTTTACTTCTTTTATCCTTAACATAACATAAATTATCTATTGTTTTATCCAATTATCACAGTTGAATAAGGCAAAATTGTATTAGAAAAAGAAAAAAACCCTTTAGTGCTTTAACCTTTAGTAGTACGCAAGGTTTACTATAGTTAAGTAAGGCTAAATTATATAAAACAAATAATAATCTTTTTTAAATTTTATTTATATCTTTGAATAGATGTAAACTAATACAATCTTGATTTTTATAACTTATTTATTAATATTTTATCACAAAATATACAATTTAATTACAGAGCTCATATTTTACATTAGTTTTTTCTTTATGTCACACCTTGCACTTCTTTTTTTTTACATCTCAAATCGTAACTTATTTTTATTCTTTGTCGGTAGCCAGTGTTAACAATACATATGAACCAAGTAGTCAATATAGACCAATCTTATTAATATTATGAATGCAAAAGTTTAGATGGCTGGATGTATGTTAAAGTTTATAGCATAAACGGCTAAATGGATTACGATGAAATTTGGCATAGACGTAAAGGACAGTCTAGAAGAACACATAGGCTACTTACTTTTGTTTATTTTTTATTTAACTCTTATTTCTTTTTTCAGGAATGGGATCTCTCATTTGGGTTCTTACAGCGGAATTGTTCGACGGTCCAGCGCGAGCTTTTGGCGTATCTATAAGTTTGATTATAAACACTTTGTCTGTGTTTTTAACCACTAAATATTTCTCTACGCTAACAACAGTTTTAGGGCCCGCGGTGACGTACTGGTGGTTCAGCGGTTGCTGTTTTATTACTTGTATATTTATACATTATTGCGTACCTGAAACTAAGGGGAAAACGTTTAGAGAGATACAGGAATATTTTGAAGGGGATAGAACTAAAAAGGATTTCGAAAATAGTTAGGAAATATTAACATAAGTGTTAGGATAGTACAGGGGTTGCGAACATTTATGCATCAACGTGCCAATTTGACGTGCCATCGAATTTTGATTGCGCTTATTACGTCAATTCCATGGTGCATCTACTTCATAATTTTTTTGTAGTGTTTTTATGATCATTGACGTGCTCAAAATATTATGTAGTTTGCTACCCCTGGTATAGAATATGGTTTTGCCATTCGGCAACACATTTGCAACTCTAAAGTTCTTATGCCTAGTTCACACGAAGCTATTAATTTAGTCGAGTCCCAAGTAATTTAGTAACTAAAGGACTGAAAGACGAAAATTTGGATTAGACTCGCAAATTATTTAGTCGATTCGACTTTTTCGGCGTAACTAAACTATTAAATAAGTCCGATCTTGGCAATTATTGAGAAGAAAAATAGCACCGTGCAGTAGAATTGGCGCATCACTAGATTATCGGCATAAACGTCACGTCCGTAGCTGACAGCATCAAAGTCATTAGAAGGATTGATATTCGCGCGCATTCCTGGCAGGACCGCTAATTAATATTATAGTTACAATTAATTGTTTAAAACAATTTAGTCGCGATCCGTAGTTTACGTTGATATTGCATAACATTTGTGTACTATACTGAGACAGTAATTGTTTGCGCTACTGTCTAGATAGACTCGATTTTAGCTACTAAATTAATCGATAACGACGAAATCATTCCTAGTGTGAACTAGGCATTATAGATTTAGTCAAGTGGTTTTACTTCACTAGTTAAACCGCTTGCGTTTTTAATACTTTTTTTTTAAAGTTTGAATTTGTATGGCTTCATTTAGAAGACTACTTAATTTTAAGTTTAAATATTTACGTTAGTTTTTAAAAAATTATGTAATCTACTGAAATTTCTACATTTTAATATAAATAAATTTACATTGACAATATTCCAAAAGTATGTTTTTCATTTTACCTTTTACGAATAGTCGAATATAGAAACCTATTAAAAAAGTATCTTTATTAGTAAGATAGTAGTAGATTGGTACTTAGATTTTTTTTTAATTAGGTTTCTTTAAATATAAAGGTACTTTTTCCTTAATTATTTAATACTAGCTTTCGCCCTCGACTCCGTTCGCTTGGAATTAAGAAACACAAAAGTAAGTAGCCTATGTGTTCTTCCATACTATCATCATACATCTATACCAAATTTCATGGAAATCCGCTCAGCCGTTTAGGCTACAAACTCTAACAAACATCCATCCATCTAAACTTTCACATTTATAATATTAGTATGATAAAATATAAATGATGGTTACAATACTTTTTAAATACATTTTAAATGTAACTCTATTTATACTCTAAAATTCGTGATGGAATAATAAAAAATGTTGCAAAGAAGGTACTTTTGTGTCATGTCAAAAATGTTATTAGTGTTGATACAACCCAAGTAGACGGTGTTTTAAATCCTGTGTATATTAAAGGTTTACATTTAATCATATTAAAATTATGTACAAAATAACACGTGCAAATGTAAGACAATATGGAGTTATTATAATAGGTATGTATTTAATATTTATAATACAAATGTTGAAGAATTACATTTCTTTACAACACAACAATGTTAGACATGCGATGTTTTCAATAAATCAATTGCAAACGAATGGATCACGAATAAATTTGGCACAGATGTACATAGTCTGGAACACGTAGCCTGTTTACTGTTTTTTTTTAATTTAGTGCGGAAGTTAGGCAGAATCTACTGGACTACAGTATAAATAAATCTTATAAACTTTTTATATTTCCGTAAGAGAATTGTTTGTTGGACATAAAACGTAACTATTGTTGGTTTTACTGCCCGATAGACATGTTATTTTTAAAACTTTCTTTCTTATACAAGGTAAATTTTGCCTTTATTTTTTCAAATAGTGTATTACATCTATGCCAATATCCATGAAATCGTGGAGATACCTTCAAACATCCATATAAAATTTCGCATAGTATCAGTTTATTCGTTAAAAATAATAAAAAATGCAAGGTGTGTGAGTAACATCTATTTATACTAATATTATAAACAAGCTGTTGCTCGCGACTTCGTCCGCGTGAAATTTAAAAATTATAATGAAAAAATATGTCCTGTGTTACTCAGAGATAAATTACCTTTCTAATGGTGAAAGAATTTTTAAAATCGGTCTAGTAGTTTTTGAGTTATTTCAATACGTATACAAAAATACAAATCATTCCTCTTTATATTATTGGTAAAGATATAGATGTAGATAGGAAATACTAATATTATACATTTTTGTATGTATTTAATTACCTCAAAAACTACTGGACCGATTTCAAAAATTCTTGCACCATTAAAAAGCTACGTTATCTTTAAGTAACATAGGCTTTCTTTTTACTATTTTATTAATTCTACGGAGACGACGTCGGGAGCGACAGCTAGTAAAGTATAAAGTTTGTTAGTTCTCATATTGTTTCAAATTTATTTGACTTTTTTACCATCATCATCATCCTTATTCTACTCCCGTAGGGTCGGCACAACAGGTTTTTGTCCTCCAAATAACTCATACGTCATCTCAGTCATCACTTGACTTTTTACCATTGTTTAGTATCAAATTCTACGATTTGTATAATGTTTCATTAATTAATGACATTGGGACATTTTCAGTGAACTTAAGTATACTAACAATTGGTATGAGTTTAACATGGCCGTCACCGGTGTTAGTAAAATTGAGAAACCCGAATCAAAGTCCTGTTCATACTTCACTAGACGACAGTCAAATATCTTGGATTGTCTCAGTATCGTTCCTCGCGTCAGTATTTAGTAAGTATTTTTCATATTTATACAGAGCTAAACTAAACTATTTCGTATACCGATTCTTAAGTTGAAAGTTCGAAGTCATTCTATAATATGTTGTAAGCATCGCCAGCTGTTAATGTACAATCGGGAAATTTGGCGATTTTGAAACCCACATTCATTTGAACACGAAACAGTAACCAATCCCCGCAACTCATTGCTATCTAATTGGATATTTGTAAGAGGAGTCTAATTACAAGGAATAAAGCATTTTTTGTTAGTGGAACATTGTAGATTTCCGCGATTGTACATAGTTAAATGTGCGTCTCCTCCTCCGTCAATTAAAGGTAGGCAACGCATCTGCAATTGCGGATGGCCGCTTGCTTGTTTGCCACCTTATATTATAAAAATAAAAAAAACATTGATAAGAAGCGAAAAATGTATCATCCATACTAAACCGTGTGGGTTTTGATTGTTAATTTCACAAAGTAAACTACACACTTGAATATCGCTATTTTACGGTTAACTCTGTTACTTTTTCAGCGACTGTTCTTATGGGTGTCATTGTTAACCGATTCGGGAAGAAGCAGTGGATTGTATTCGCCTATTTGCCGAGAATTTTATCTGGTTTCATATACATCTTCGCTACAAGTTATTGGTGGTTTATAACAGGACGGATTTTAAATGGAATATCTGATGTATTATTTTTAAACAGCGTTGCGCCTTATTCAGCTGAAATTGCCAGTGTGTGTATTATTTTTTAATAATTTGAAAGATATAAATATTTAGTAGTGATTGTCTCAATGTTGTGTTTGAATTTTACATATCCCAAATATCTTATTTAATTTTGAAGTATACCAATATAAGCTGTGGTGACCTAACCTTTTTAATATTACAATAGCGAAAGTTTAGATGGATGGATCGATTTGTCAGAGTTTGTAGCCTCAATGACTGAATGGATTTCGATGAAATTTGGGTAGATGTAGAAGATACTGTGAATGAACACATAGGCTACTTACTTTTGTTTTTTAATTCCTCGCGAACGGAGTCGAGGGCTAGTTCTTTAATACTTACTGTTCGTGTTAGATTGTTAAAAACCCTTATTAGTATTCCTATTTGTTTGATTTCAGAAAGAAATAAGAGGATCTCTGGGCACGATATCTCAAATTCTATCTTCTTTGGGAATGCTGATCTCGCTAAGTTTGGGTCCTTATGTGTCGTATTTTGTGTTCAATCTTACATTTACAACCATCGTGGTGCTAACATTTATGCCGATATTACTGCTACCTGAAAGCCCACATTACTTGTATTCAAAAGGTAAGTTATTAATCGCACTGTTTAGTTGTGCTTTGAGTCCTATGAGCTTATATGGAGGTACGGTACATGATTTTTAGTTGTGCAACTAAACAGTTGAATAGGGTGCGAAACAATCGACAATCGCACAACAGCTGTTCGATAAATTAGTCAAAGGTGCGCCCGTTCTTAGAATTAGTAAGTTTTATACACTCCAATGTATACCTATAAAAATAACACATAGCATTTTATTTCCAGGTCGAAACACTGAAGCATTTAATGTGTTAAAATATTTTCGTGACTCGGAAACTTTGGCGCTAATGGAAATGAATGAATATGGAAAAGGAAACATAGAAACGAATACAGGGGTGTTGTTACAAAATAAATTATTTATTAAAGGGACTATTTTGGGTATTATCTTAGGGTTGGGAACACAATTAATGGGTTATAATACAGTGTCATATTATTTACAAACAGTATTGGAATCAACAAAGACAAGTGTGCAACCAGCTTTAGCGTCAGTCATAGTTGGAGTTCTGCAATTGTTAGGGAGTCTGTGTTCCACTTTAGTTATCGATATATTTGGAAGAAAACCTATTTTAGTGTTTACTTCAATTGGAATGGCAATAGGAATGGTAAGTAAAAAACTGAGAAGGAATAAAAAAAGTAAATTTATTACTAACCCTGTCATGACCATCGAGAAATTATATACCTTTGTTCTTTTAATTGGCGCTATGCGCTAAAAGATGGCGCTTTTATAGAAGTTTTTCTTGCGAAAAATACAAAATCCTTTTTTCAGATGGGTCTGGGCGTATACTTTAAAGTCATGGAAACAAATGCCAATTCTATATTTGGAATATTAAATTATTTACCCCTGGTGTCATTGGGAATTGTAGTTTTATGTTTTAATTCAGGTAATATACTAATAAACTGTGTTTGATAGTTAAAAATGAACAATTTATTGTGCGTAATTATATCCAAGATTACTGGGGAATATTTGTCTTTGATTGACGAGTTTTTTTTTATTTCAGGTATAGGTTCCGTTTATTTACTACTGTTCTCCGAGCTTCTAGATACATCTATGAGAATGATAGGAATTTGTATATGTATGTTTTTCTCGACATTATCAATGTTCCTGTTGGCCAGATATTTCGAAGGGTTGATATCAGTTGTTGGTTCCGCAACGACATTTTGGCTTTACAGCGCGAATTGTTTGTTCTTTTCCGTGTTTATTTTACTCTGCATACCAGAGACTAAAAACAAGACGTTCAGTGAAATACAAGAAGCTTTAAAAAGCGGTATGTTTGTTAGAGAATGAATTAAATTGATAATAGTTTTTTTTCAATAAAGTTTGTGATTTATATCTATTCTTATTTCAAAGAATGTATGTAACTTTAGTTTGGTTAAAAACAATAGAACATTCTGAGAATTGCAAGGATTAACCTGATGGCAAAATTATAGAAATAGCAGTTTACAAGTAGTGTAAATTCACTCAGTTAATATTCTCAGGCGCTCCCTAATTTTTCATTTCATGCGTAAGAATTGTCCAGCTTATACAAATACTTTTCATATGTTTAAAAAATACTGATAAAGAATTTATAAATGACAGTATAATGACATTGCTTTCTTGCTGTCATCCCATAGCATAAACTAAACAAAAGTCATCTTTTATATCGTTCTGCAAAATTACTTCCAATGAGATATCAAAATAAAAATATTCAATTTTGTAGCATATTCGAGAAGAATGAATCGTTTAAAATGTCTACCGACGAATCTATCGCTCACAAGAAGTCAATCTGTTTGTGCCCCGTTAGTATGATATTTGATGGTGTTTCCGCGAGTTCCCGCCCTTTGAAAAAATGTTAAAATACAACATAAGCCCATTCATTCCATTTTAAATACAGATATAGCAATATTGAACAATGTTGGGGCAGTGAAAATGCACCGTTGTTTTGGCTGACTCATCAGTCGCCTATATTTTTATTTTTGTACTAGCATTGGCCCGCGATTTCGTCCGCGTGGTATTAAAGTAAACAAAACTAAGTAGCTTATGTGTTATTCCAGACTATCCTCTATATCTATGCCAAATTTCATCGAAATCCATTTAGCCGTTTAGGCTACAAACTCTATTAAAAATCTATCCATCCATCTAAACTTTCGCATTTATAATATTAGTATTAGTATGATGTACTTTATGCATGATACTCTAACCTTTAATCTAAACAGCTTTAGCAATTATTAAGACTGAATAATTTGATTCGTGTTCTATGTGTTTCAAGGGACCATTTAGGTTGTTTTTATACTTTCAACTCAGGGCATGTTAATTAAAATACTGTTTGTTTTAGATGTAACAATCCGATGCATTTAATATGTTTTAAACAATGGACATCGGAAATGGTGGATGACATTATATCGAGTGCAATTAATCTAAAATTTTCTCTTTGGGATACACACTTTAAAAAACTGGTACGAAAATAATTTTAAAATTCTCATTTCTATGAGTATACCAATGTAAAAAGAAAAGATTTGTACTCAGTATGTATTGAAATAACTTAAAAATTACCGGGCCGATTTCAAAAATTCTTTCACCATCAAAAAGTTCCGTAACCACTGAGTAACATAAGCTATGTTTTTTGCTATTATTTTTTAATTCTACACGGACGATGTCGCGAGCGACAGCTAGTGTATTTCATTCTTTTAATTGCTTCATTAAATTTCCACAATTTACATCTAAAAGATACTATTGTTCGCACAGAACGTTTTAAAAAATGCCAAAGTGATGTTATTGCAAGAAATTAATGAACCAACTCTTAATTTGGCCGTGTCAAAAGCGGCATCACTTTTGGGTGCAACTGATGTCTCGATAAATGACAAATTGATTTGGGAATACGATTATGTTGGCAGGTAATATATTAACTTAATTAATTATGCTTAAGTAAGTCAAACTACGAAAAAATTAAACAAGCTATTGCCAGTAGAAAGATTTCTAAAATTACAGTATTATTCGGAGATACTGAATTTAGCAATTTACAAAGCAAATTATAGTATCCTACCGAGGCATTAGTCTCATGCGAGATCATAAAAAGATCCACGAAATGGCATCAGTAAGGGCCTGTCCCACTATTGGCTGATAAAAAACTTCAGAGAGCTTAAAAATGACGTCACTGTCAGATAAGGAAGACAATCCGATATATCCATCACAAATTTTACACGTTGGATTGTTATCAAACTATTTACGATTTGGTGGGACAGGCCGTAAACATTTTAAATATTCAACAGGGTATTCTCTATGATGTGTGATATAATATTTGTGTCAACATCGACACATGGTTGCGTGGCGCGCTTTGCCGAGCAATCGTCTGTACCAGTCATGTGCATCAGGTCGCGCGCCCACGCCAGCCTGCAAGCGCTAGCTACCATTATGACTATTATAGTAAGCAGTATAGTTTTGCTTGATCATAATTGATAACAATGAAATTAAAAGTTCTAACGCTTTTTGAAAAATGTTCATAAGGTATTGCTAATAACTACCGACAGGCGCTTTTCAGATAACAATCTATTTCAGCCAAGTTCATAATGTCGTTGAAATGACTAATGTACTTTCCACGGAGGTCAAAATAATAAAAGGAAATAAAGTGATCTGCTTAGCTAGATCGATATTTTTAAAATTTCATGTTTCCAGGAAGAATACGGCTCAATGAATTATCTTAATGTTGCATATATTGGCACGCCCCATCCTGTCCTTAACTCATATCTTCTGTTGTGTCCAATGCTAGGGGCCAACTTGAGATTTAAATGCTGTTGTGAAGTATGTATATTGCTAACATGAAACTGCCTATGAAAATTCATCTGCTTTGTACATAATAATGCTATAGAAATTGTGACAGGCGTTTTTTTTAAAATTCGAATACAGTTGGTTTATGAAATTATCGTACAAAAAGACACAAATAGCTAAAATCACGTAGCTAATAAGTCAATTTACAGTAGAATAATTATGAATCCTTTGTTCCCAACAAAAAAAAAAACTAAATACTTAATTTAAAACCTTTTCTTTACAGAAATGTCCTGTGAGTCCACTTTTGTACAAAGTTAGTGAAAATATGACAGAAAAAAGTCATACAACAATGAAGCAGTGTAAACACAAGGATGATGTACTATACCAAGCTTGTGTGGTCATCGCAGGTCCTGCCACTAACAATGAAGAGAAAATAAAAGAATTTAAGTTTGGAGTTCAGGTTAGATGAAAAAACAGAACAATATTTATGATATAAAAAGACAGGCCTGAATGTAACACCTTCAGTGCATTATGTACAGTGTTATCCTCCAGTGTATGGTAGCTAGATGTTCCTTCTAGTGCAGTTGTTGATGAACTATAATTCCATCTATACTAATATAATAAAGTGTAAACACACACTACCTTGTGGCATAGGATGTTAGCAATCTCAGCTTATTTTTAAATAATTCTTTCTTTTCTAAAAAGCCCTACACTTTCGACACACTTTAGGCTATATATTTTTACACTATTAAACTTAGGGGGTAAAAAAATTGGAAAAAAACCTTGTGGGAAAGGGATCATAAGCTGCCAACATTAAGGAAGCAAGGATATTATGGTAACAGTAATTTTGACATTTGCAATTGAGAAATTGACAAATCTAATAAAGAGGGGACGTACATTTGGCTGGATAAGGGATATATAGAAGGGTCAATATCCTTGTTCTGTACATCCTATTCCAGGGATAGCAAACCTTTAGGTTTTAATGAGTTAATTTTTTAAATAAATGTATAATGCAGTCAGAAGTGCCATCAAATAATTTGTGTTCGCACAAAGACAAAGACAACTTGCATTTGTTCTTTATAAAATTTCTACTCTACATTTTTCTGTGGTTAAAAGGCTTTAGCTATTTTTAGTTTTTACTAAAATTTAAACAATGTTTGAAGTCAATCATTAAAGTTATGTATAAATGTAACATAAACCCATGAATTATTTCAATATTCAATTATATAATTATAGTATATTATCATACTAATATTATAAATGCGAAAGTTTAGATGAATCAATGTTTGTTATAGTTTGTAGGTTAAACTTTTTTTTTTTTATAATATAAGGTGCCAATCCAGCAAACGGCCACCTGAATCCACCGAAATGGAAAGCGACCGCTGCCCATAGACATCCGCAATTGCAGATGCGCTGCCAACCCTTGATTGACGGAGGAGGAGACGCACATAAAGAGGACATTCCCCTTCCTATGCGTCTCCTACACTGTCAAATCCACTTTTCCTTCCCTTCCTTCTCTCTTAAGATAAGTGTGGAAAGGGAAAGTGACTAAAATTAGGCCTACGGCACCACACTCATCAGACGACACGCGGAATTGCTTCCACTTCACGCCTGTTTTCTGTGTGGTCGTGGTATTACACCGGGCGAGCCGGCCTATTCGTGCGAAGATGTTAAAGCGGGCTCTACCACTGTAAAACTAGTAAACTAATCTCAATGAATTTTGGCACAGATGTAGAGGATAGTCGGGAACACATAGGATTACTAATGTTTTTTAAATTCCAAGAGGATGAAGTCGCAGGCGATAGCTAGTATAAGATAAATATGTTTCAATATTGTTTTTATTTTCTAGGACATAAAAAGATGTAATAACATAAGTAAGTGGATATTCTTCCACACATTACCAAGAGGTTCGGAGATTGATGACGAGTTATTTATGCATAATAATGCAAGAACTTTTAATGCATTTAACAACATGCAATATATTGCCGCAGCATTGATGGCTAAAGCTCTACAAGGACATGTGTTTTGAATAAACAATAATAAATTTTCTGTTTTATTTATTTATGTTTGAAATTAATGAAATCTGTACTAATATTATAGAGAGGAAAGATTTGAATTTTGGAAGAATTGAAATAACTCAAAAATTAGTAGACTAATTTCAAGAATGATTTTTCAGTTAATAAGCTATGTCATTAGTAATATAGGTTTTACTATTTTTTAATTTCAGACAAAGTTGCGAGCAACAGCTAGTGAGATTAAATGCAGGGCTACTGACCATTGTCAATTTGCTATTTTGGTTCAAATGGCTGTATTTATCACAAAAAAAATGTAACCAACCAGACTAATTCATTTTTTGTCACATATACTCACAGTTATTGAGCTCTTAACAAGTCTCTTGAGTGAAATTTCCATTAAAAATGTAATTTTTCCTTTCATATGGGGATTTTAGGCCAAGTTGTAGGTTTCACACTATTAAAAGAAACAGTATTGTTTATGTTATACTTTATGAAAACATTGACTTAACAATTATGCAATATCATTAATGCAAAATTATAATTATTTCACTAAAGGATTCTACGTCTTTTACACTGTTATTTGTTTTCTTGCACTATTTCTATACACTTGAGCACATTAAATTGTCTTAGTTTTAATCTCGTTGGTTCAAATATTTCCCTCTCATAGGTTTTGGTAAAGGCACAACACCAGGGCAAGGAACTTGTCCATAAGTTTCACAAATACAAGCCCTTTCACAACCGACTCCGAAGTTAGCAGGGTTATCCTTCTTCTCAGCAGCGGTAGCCTCCGCTTCCAAAACCTCTTTCGATTTACCAACTGTATTCAATAAATGATCCAAAATGTCCTCTTTTGATCTATTATCGACGTCAACTAAAATACGCCTCCCATCTTCGAAATAACACTTAATAAACGGCGAAGGTGTAAGATTCTTTAAAGTAACTACCTGTACGTCGGGATTTTTGTATTGGATCTGCGGCAAATACCAAAAAACAAATTCTTTCGCACCATTATTGTTTTGGCCGTATATATTGTATGCGACGGAAAATATTTTTATTTTATCCTTGAATACTAGTTTTCCAGCATTAAGGTAGTTCAAAGTACGGCGAATAGGAGCTCTTCCTTTCATGAACGGCATTTTTAAGCAATTTCTGGATTAAATTAATTAACTTAATAACCTAAAACAAATTGACATCTAAGAGTTGACACTGACAGCTGTCTTGTTTCCATTAGGGCATAGAAAATATAAAAGTAAAACACAATAAAAAATTGAGCCACATAAAACAGCTATCGAATTCAAAATAAAAAAAAATCAGGAACTTTAAGAAGTTTTTATTGTACTATTCTCAAACCAGTCAGTATTCTTTCTTTCAAGACATCTTTCATTGATATTGTGACATGTCAATTTAATAAAGTGTGGTAAAAATGATTTCTTAAATTTTTAGTGGATTGCAATATAGATTTCAGGATTAATTTCATTCGGCTACCAACTCGTAATTTTCCACACTTAAAATAATGAAGTAAAGAGAACAAAAGACTTGACCCAAAATGAATTTTTTTCGAGTCACTTTCACACCCGAAGAAAAGGAGAATGAATAAATGTTCAAAAGTCAAAAACCCTTGCAAATTATGCTTCCGAAGTGTAACGACCAAAACAGGGGTCCAGTGTAAGGGTGTTTGCAAAAAATGGGCCCATTTCAAGTGTTTGAACTATACACCTGGAAAAATTCAAGATATCAAAGCAGGTTTGATAAGAATCACATGTCCTTGCCCAGATTGCAACTCATCAGAACCAAAGGAAATAGTTTTAGATTCCCCATACGCGTGTACAAACTTTCAATGCCCGGCCAACAGTCTACCGATATGTGAGTCAACGGAATGCCCTAGTATGTACCATTTGACAAACCAGACTCTTCTACCTAAGCCATCTGCGTCCAGTATAACAGCTAACATGCGATCTAGATGTTCCGTGAAGCGATTTGATCGTGCGGCAACTCCTCCCGTACTTATGAACTGGCCACCGGAATCTTCGTCATTCCCGAATTCTTTAAGTACGAGTTGTAGAAAGAAATGCGATTCTAGTACGTACAAGTCTTACTTCCCAGCGCCTAATCGATGTCAACAATCGAATTGCTCTCATTCGCATTGTTCGAAAGTGAAAAACAAGATGTGTTCGCCGATACGATCTCTGTCTTGTTCATTTGTCGACGAATCAGTATGTAATGGTTAGTATCAAAGCAATCATTAATACAATAGTTTATGTAGTTAAATTAAAACTATTATGAATTTTAACTGCGTTAAAAGGAAAGGAGGCAAGACAGGACCGTTCGAAATATAAATCCGAAGTGTCCTTTTTAACCTTTAGTTGTAAAGCATGACTTTTTCTATGAATGTTAAATCTGATTTACTTTATACATTTTTAATTTCCAGATTCCGGCGCAACTTGGATACAAAAAGATACAAAAAGAAGTATAGGTAAAGATCATAATTTTAAAATTATGAATACATACTAAAAATTTTGTTTACGAAAGATGCAAATTAGCAAGGTTTTGTGGATAAGTGATACCTACGACATACAAAGAAGCTGAATTAAATTATTATTATACGTTAACACACATTATTTCAGTTTGTACCCTCAACGGCTGAATTTTGATGAAATTTGGCATAGATGTAGAGGATAGTCTAAAAGAACACATAGGCTACTTTTGATCCCGGAAATAATTACGATTCCCGTGGGATACATTTTCATATTCATTCGATAAATCAATAAGGTTCAACATTGAAATTTGGCACAGATACAAAACTCAGTTTGGAGTAACATGGGATACGGTTCATCCCTAAAATTTTGGGTTCTCAAGGGACTATTAGTTTATTATTTTTCATAGTTTGTATGTTTTTAAATACTGTGCATACGAAGTCGCGGGTGGTGTTAATACAGTTTTCATGTCTTATTTTTTCAGCCCGTGATGCAGAAACTTCACCTAAATATATTTCATCTTCGGATTCCCAATTGTCAAAAGCTCGCGACACGCAGAAATCTCTGTACTGCACAATGGAACAAATGTGTACCACAGTCGGCCAGTTGTCTGGACAGCTTAAAGAATTAATGTGTCGAATGATGGAAGCTTTCGAAAAGACGACTGTTCATAGTAAATATGATACTGCGATTTGATAATCATACTTTGTATTAAAATGTAATGAAGTTTTAGGAATATTAGCTATACTTCTGTATATAATTGAACTAATAAATATTACGAAATACATTTGGATTTTTATTCAGTTTGTAATCGTTGTTCTATTAAGGATTGAAATAAGATATTTGGAGACATATAAGTATGATTCCTGTTTGCACTAAAGGTTACCACGATTACCATTTTTAAAGGACAGAGAAACCATCGGTCATATGTCTAAAAGTAAGAGCGGGCGCGCACCCTTGACTAATCTTTCGCAAATCTGTTGCCCGATGGTCGATTGTTTTACATCCTATTCTATAGTTTAGTTGCACAACTAAAAATCGAGTAGTCTGCACACCTCAAGCACATAGGAATCAAAGCGTGACTAAACAGTTTTGTGATAGTTTAGTTGAAGGTGTGCGCGCACTCTAAAGGAGACAATGAAATATGTAAATCAAAAAGCAATATTGTCGTAGTTAGTCCTGTATTTTTAAAAATAACGGGATAGTTTAACTATCCTATCACAGATAACATATTAATTTTAATTTAGATCTTATTCTGAAACGTCAGAGTAACTGTTCAAAAAGAAGAAAAATGAATCGGTCATGACAACGTCTAAATCCGCTGTCAATTCTTGTTATATTTTTTTTAAAAATCATGCCGACCTAAATATAATGAATTCACGAAACACAGAAAAAAAATAGCCAACCATGTTCATTTACTTGAAACGGTGCTAATCATTGAACAAAAATGTCCAAGTGCAGTAAGGTAAAAAATCCTTGCAAAATTTGTTTGGGCCCCGTCACTTTGAAAAACGGTTTACAATGTAAAGGTGCTTGCAAAACTTGGATGCATTTCGAGTGCCTAAACTACACACCAGGTAAAATTAAAGATATAAAGACAGGTATAATTAAAGTCACGTGCCCCTGTCCGGACTGCAAGACGAGTGAACCAAAGGAATACCGTACGGACACGCCGTTCAGTTGTACCAACATAAAGTGTCCGGCGAACCGTCCGGCAAAATGTGACAACAAGGAATGTCCATCGAACAAAGCACCGGACAAAATAAATCAAACATCTACAAACTTAATACCAGCATGCCCTTTAACTAAATGTGGTATAGACTGCAAGAGGAATAGTTTTCCTCAACTACCGAGTGCTCCAGCGCCACCTATTGGTAAACCATGTGCACCTAGATCTTCGTCAGTTAGTATCAACCCTTCGCCGAGTACGGACGACCCGTCTGGCGATGCGTTTAAAAATCCTCGTGCAGATCTGTCTTCTTTGGGAACTCTACAGCAAATGTGCAGAACTGTTGGTCAGCTGGCAAACCAGATAAATCACTTGATGAATAAAATGAAGCAGGTAGTGAGTGAACCTGAAGGAGGTGGGTCTTGCATGAAGAAAGAAAAGAACAAACCCTGCCTCCCACCACCTGCCGCAACCACAGAGAAGAAACCGAATTGCCCAAAGCCGTGTCATTGCCCTGGTAACCCTAATCGCAAAAAATGATTCCTGTAAAAGTTCCTTGTAATGTCAAACTAAGAACGAAAGTACCAACTAAATAATATCTTTATCATTTCCGTTTTTCTAATACAGTAAATAGTTGTTTGAAACCTTCCGTTTTTCTTCTTGTCGAGAACAATAGTATATTTAATTTTAACCTTTAAGACTTTTGAAAATGTATTTTGAATATTAAATATGTAGAATAATCCATAATCAAATTGTGTTTGTATTAGAATGAGAGTTGTTTATAGAAGCTAAACTGAGTTATCAGATAAATAACTGTAACCACAGCAGACGTTTCCAACAGCTATGAACCGGTTAAAAATATCAATTCTTGAATTTAAGCCAATAGCCTTATGGTTAAGTGTACGGATTTCCGATCACGTGGTCGAGGGTTCGAATTCCACCATTCGACTTATCAACCATATCCTAGCACAAGCCTAGAGTTTAGGTGGTAATGGTAGAAGTAATATTAGTAAATTACTAAAAATCTGCTATAGTTTGTCTAAATAAAATAGATTAGTTTGATAAATGACGCATATGAAGTATCGAATTCAATTTCTCTGAAGGCAAATGCCACACTTAATAGACAGGTATCGTAGTGACGAAACTAACACGCATAGCGAACAATTTTGAAGTATCGATATTCGGTTTAAATAACTATCGAACACAACTAAAATTATTATTTTCTTATTCACTAATTGAGAGGACAATTCTAGTATTTGGGGTATTAATTAATTTTGTTGATATCTTATTAGAGGTTTTATACACGTGTACATATCTCACTCTTAGTGTAACTATTATAACTAAGGTATACCGTATACCTTTCAACAATCCAAGACAACTCGACCATGAATATTGGCAGCCGTTCCCTTAAATATGGAGATATATAGGCTTATTCTGAACAATCGTTGCGATTGGAAAATGATATTGTGTAAAATGTATTTCGACAATTAGAATTACTTTCCTTTAAATTTATAAAAGTGCCTCATTCCACACTTCACGAAACTACAATGAAATTAGATCAGAGTAAGGACGCAGAGGTATTACCACGAATGTTTGTGAGAACGTATTCATAACGTCATCGACATGTTAGGGAATTACATTAAAAAATCTCATACGAATTTTGTCGATAACGTTACGAATACGTCCTCTCGACTTAAACTCAAACATTCGTGATAGACGCCCTGTATCCCAGCTATTTCGTATTGTACAAGTCTGATTGCCAATCAAACTAATATTCAAGTTTTATTCCATAGCTACCCGTGACTCGTGTGACCGAACAAACGAGTTAATTCATCTACAGGAGGTCATATTCAGTTTGTGTTAAGTTTTAGTTTTAATTAAACATTGTTTAATAAAACAAATGCCAGTTTCGACTTGAATTAATACATGTTGTCTCTATTTTGTTAAAGAGAATGAAAAAGATGACAATAGTATAAACGTCCTTGTCATTCACATCAAAAAGATAGAGATGACAACATACTCGTACCTGTTGTGGAAACTAACAGATACAATTATAATAAACAAAATCTTTTATTATTTAAATCACACGACCTTTCGATGACATTGATAAACATTATTACATTTATAAGATCTCGTTTTTTTATCGTTTATAATAAATCAGTGAGCATGCGTCAAGTTCATGATTATTAGCAGACGATTTATCAACATTAATATGTATTCTATGCAATTTTGATAAATTTATAATGCAGTTTATGACAAACAGGGTTTACTTCCAGTCAGTAAACTGTAGAACACAATGAGAAGAAGTGATTTGGTGAGTTAAAAGTATATACGTAATATACCCTCGAATCTATTTATACAAAAGACACCACATCTTTACTTTGGTCTAGGTGGGTTCGTGATCAAGCGCTGGTTTATAAATGATTAAAAAATGGATAAAATCCACCGCATTCTATAGATTCCAGTACTGGATCTAAGAAACAAAATTAATAAAACGGAATTTTTAAAATAACCTCTATATTGTCAAACTTACGACATGTTTACTTATTTTACTCAAGAAATTAGGGTAATATGTAATTAGAATTCATTAGTTCTTTCCATTTTTAATAACAATTCAGTAAGTTTACTGTTGGACTTTACTGTCGGGCTTATCTATCGATGGGTCTAATGGGAATTTTTTATCCTATTCAGTTAATTGATTTTATTTCGATCGGCTCAATGGGAAAACATTAAGTTCAAATCGGTGTGGCAATTGGCAGAATTATAAACACCCATTGAAGGAATAGAGTTTTTTTCTAACTTCTAAGCTTCGGTAATAAGGGTCCATGCACAATGTGAAGTAATTAATTTCATCGATTACAAGAATTAATGGTGTTTGTGAACGTTACTTTATTTTAAATCATAATGTAGAAAATGAGCAACAGGTGAGTTGCATTTTGCAGAAATAAAGAAGTAATCTTTGCCCATAGACTTTGGCAAAAGCAGATGCATTGATGCAGATTGACAGAGGACCTCCTTCCGGAGACCGCATACCCCACCTCTGTCAAATCCAGTCTCAATTTTCTTTTCTATTTGTGTGAATTGCCAGCTCGCTGAATGTTATAACACAACCACATATAAAATAAACAAAAGAGACAATTTTGATCTATGTGCGTGCTGGAAGCCATTTAGTCCCCTTTTCTCTTCCCACTTATATTCCATTCTCATATTTTAAGGAATGAATAGGATAGAAAAGTGGATTTGACGGTAGAAGATACGCACAGGATGGGAATATATCCTCTTTCTGTACGTCTCCATTCATCTAAACTTTCACATTTATAACATTAACAAGATGGCATTGTATAAAATGCTATAAAACATATGAATTTGGGTCATGTCGATAGTTTTATAATAAAATATGCACACTGCTTGATATTTACTTTCATTAAAATTAAAAAAAATAATGATGATTTTACATATTTAGTAACTTTTCATGCATTAAATTTCATCATTTAGTTATATAAGAAATGCATTCGAAACTGTTTCGAAATTCTCTGCACCACTTACATGCATTATCAAATGTATTTAATCTACAATTACTCAATTTAATCATTAATTACTATCTTCAATACAACTGCATTAGCAGATATATAGGGAAATTTACGAAGATCAAAATTTTCGATAAATCGTTTAGATCATATTCGTTCTTCACTGAAGTTGTACATTCATTTAATTAAATAATATGTAATTAGACTTAAATTTATAATAACAATATTTAAAAACTAAATGGAACGTCCAGAGTACGAATACGATAAAATACAAAAGTTGCCAGTTGTAATGGATACATCGATTAAGTTCCAATTGCTAATCGTAGCCTGCAGTAAGTCCTTAATTATTTTTACATTGTAGCACTAACTACATAGGTGTTGCCATTTCGTATGTTTTAAGCCAATATCTGTTACAAATAACCTCATTCTGAAGGTAACAATAAACGTGTATAAATCCATTTGAGCTTTCGCATTTAATTTCTACTAAAACCTCCTGCCAACCAGTATTGGGCCAGCGTGGTTGACTATGGCCTAGTCACCCCTTACTGGTATAGTGAGCTGGTAATGATGAAAATCAATGCAAAAGGGTCTTTATGGTCACTATAATTTAAGTTTAATTTTGTTTTCAGTTAACATTGGACAGATTATAGTCGGATACAGCGTGGGATGGTCCGCTCCGATCATACCAAAGTTACAGGATAACTCAACATCGCCTTTGCCTGAACCTATAACTGATATCCAAGCATCATGGGTCGGTTCACTGCTATATATAGGAGCTATGATTGGTGAGTACAATAATGCCAGCAGAGTATAGTTTAACTGGTAGCTTGCTTTAACATCTTCGCACGAATAGGATAACTCGCCCGGTGTACCACGACCACACAGAAGACAAGAGTCATGTGGAAGCAGTTCCACGTTCGTCTGATTAGTGTGCGTTCGGGAGGACTAATTTTAGTCCCTTTCCCTTCCCACCCTTTTGGATGGATGGATGGATGGAAAGGGAAAGTGGATTTGACGGTGGAGGATACGCATAGTAAGTGGAAATAGGATATTATGTGCGTCTCCTCCGTTGAATAATGGTAGGGACCGCATCTGCAATTGCGGATATCTATTTTCAGCGGTCGCTTAGATTTCTCAGGGAAAATGTGGGTTGAAGTGAAAAATATAACTAGACTGTATTTTCATTCTACTATACCATCCTTGATGTCTGTGACTGAAGAGGAGTGCATCTAATATTTCACTGTCAATTAAGCGTTGAGTTATTTTTCATGTGGGAATTTTCAATGTCTGTTCAATCATTTTCTTATAAGTCTTTTTTATTATTAGAAAATTGTTCGTTAAGATGTTTATGGAATATTCCAAGCTTTTGGATAGATTAATAAAATCGATTAAATTGTTTTTATTTTATATAAATATCGTTCAGTCAACCTAATACAATTACTAATTGTCTTGATAAATAACGATTGATATAAAAAAAATCATGACCTACGCACGACGATAAAAATTATCGTGATTTATGATTAACTTGTTGTCGACCGAGAATTTTGTTATGACAAGATACTTTACAAAGTAAACGTCCTTTAAAATCCTACTTCTATGGAGATTCTACTTCTTTCTAGCCTGGAAAACTTCCGAATATGGAGATTCCTCACAACAAATGCGGACAGAGAGAAAAAGAACATTTAATAATTGGTTTTCCTTGTAAATAAAGTAAATTCAACATTCATACATTCCAAGTATATTAACCATAGTGTTTATATACATATTACATTTAAATCGTTATCGCTTAGTACACTCAAGAGCATTGAATCCGGATCACTAACCAAAAAAAAAAAACAGCGTTCTTAGTTTACGGGACTTTTTGGTTTTTTTAAGTGACACGGATTCAATGCTCTTGAGTGTATATTGTACAATACACTACATATAAACAAATGAAATATTTGATTTAAATTGAGTGGATATGACAAGGATTAAAAAAATTAAATAATTTGTGTATTGAAGTAGAAATGAAAATAAACCACAAATGCTTCCAATTTTAATCACATTATCTCTCTATATTGTTATTAAAGGAATTAGTTATCATAATAATCCGAGATTATACAATAAATTAGGTTTTTGTGATTTTTATTCAATAGATTGTTACGAAGGGAATTCCAAATGATTTTGATGTAATTTCAGGTCCTTACGTCACTGGCATATTATCGAATCTGATTGGACGAAAACCCTGTTTACTGATTGGTGGATGTATAAATGTATTATCATACATTCTGGTCATCACCACAAAGAATGTAGCGATGGTGATGGCGTTAAGGGTGATGAGTGGTCTAGGAATGGGGATCACCACAGTTTGCAATCTGGTGTATGTTGGTGAAATAGCGTAAGTTTTATGACGGATTTAACACCATTGAACGATGTTTTGTGTGAGAACGCTACACTTAAGTCAATGGTCTCTTAAGATTACTACATTGTAACTAAAGTGTTTTATGATCTTGACATTTTTATCTTATCAATAGGAATACTTCTTCGGCCATCTATAGAAACTGTTTTAATCGGTGCTATTTTAAATTATGATATGGTGATGAAGTTGGCTGACTAAGGTTTAGTCACCTCCTTAGTTAGCGTAGATTCTGAGTCCCACAGTGGGAACGTTTGTAGCTAGTGATGTGAAGTTAGCAGTTAAGTTGATAACCTCTATTTCTGCAACCGTTAGCTTCCTGCGTAGCAAATGCTCCCTGATCAATGTCTTTTCCAATATATTTTCAGGTCGACTAATATTAGAGGTATACTCCTAACATCTACGGGTATAGTGGGGATAACTGGTACATTGATTGTGTATGCAGTGGTGCCCTACGTATCATACGCAGCGACTGGTTACATCGCACTAGCTGTGAGCATAGCACATGTAGCTGGTCTATTCTTTGTGCCAGAATCACCGGTATACTACGCAATGATAGGTAGAACCCTAGTCTGTTTTAATGTTTTCAAATTATTTTGAATTTTATTATTTTGAAGAAATAATTAGAAGCCCAATCTTACTTCTTACTAAATTATCTTTCTCATATTGTAAATGCGAAAATTTTAGATGGATGGATGGATAAATGGATGTTTGTTAGAGTTTGTAGCCTAAACCGCTAAACGGATTTCGAAGAAGTTTGACATGGATGTAGAGAATAGTTTGGAAGACCACATAGGCTACTCACTTTTGTTTTTTTTTAATTCCACGCAGACGAAGTCGCGGGCGAAGGCTAGTTGTTCCATAAAGTTTTTGCCAAAACAAATGAATATAGATAATTCAAAAACACTGTGATCTAGTTCAAGCTTATGACTTTTTTATTCTGCTTTTTTTATTTCAGGTCAAGAAATAAAAGCAGCGAAAACGCTCAATTTATTAGGAAGGTCTGCTGATTTAGATAAAGTGTTAGATACATTTGCACAGAAGAAAAGTGAATCTAGTAAAGTGAAAGATTGGATTGAAATTTTCACTGTAAAATCAAACAGAATGTCACTGTTTATAACATTTACTTTGGGAGCTCTTCAGCAAACAAGTGGTGTGGCTGTTGTATTGTTTTTTGCGACGACAATCTTCCAATTGGCTGGATCATCTATTAGACCTGATTTGGCAACTATTATTATTGGTGTTACAAGATTAGTATCTAGTTTAATCGCTCCAACGTTTGTAGAAAGATCTGGAAGAAAGATTCTTTTATTGGTGTCTATGATTGCTTGTGCTATTAGTTTAGTAAGTACAATATTTCATATTTCCCTAGTTAGGTAGAAAACAAGTTTCTTTATGGTTTGAATTTCGATGAAATAGTCTGATTTTCAATTGCAATATACTGCATTCAGATAGAAATCGTAGTTCATTGGAGTTCATTATCAAGTACTTTAAATGATAATCGGTTAGTGTTCGAATTTATACACATATCTAATCTAAATAACAATATGAGTTTAACGTAGTCGTGATTTTTGTTATCGAACACTTGAATGCTTCATCATGTTACGTGTTTTTAACTACGTGTTTCGACTTATTTATTGTCTTTTGTATCCTTTTTATTTTTTTCTTAATTTATCACAAAACTTTTTATTTAAATATTTACATTTTCCAAGACGTTCTTCTTTTAAATGCTGCTTTCGTAATTTCATCTCCTCGACCATTTCCTACTCCCGTAGGGTCGCACCAGGTTTTTATCCTCCAGGAAAATCTATTTTTCGTCATCTTATATTCCTCATTTCCCTTCAATGTCATCTTGCTCGCAATCAATCCATCTCCTTCTAGGGCTACTACTACCGGTGTTCCTCCATACCCACGCTATTATACTTTTAATCTTTGGATAATTTAAATAAAAAACCAAAAACTTCTCCAGATATAATGGACATATAGATTACATTTTCGAAAATGTATTTCAAAGGATTAAATAATTCGATGATATTGTATCGTTAATTAAATTTGAAAAAAATAAAATAGATATTACGAAGTAATGCAAAACTCTAAGAGTACCCTAACGAATTCTAATATTCGTAGGCTTTTTAGAATAGCTTCAATAGTTCTTGTTTCTTTTTTACAGGGTGTACTCGGTCTATATTTCTACTTAGACAGGGTGAAGAGTCCAGCCATTGAGTCTATTGGCTGGTTACCGCTAGTTGCTTTGATTATTTATTTCTTTTCGTATGAAGCTGGTAAGTCTATTATTTTATTAGTAGCTTTCGCCCGCGACTCCGTTCACATGGAGTTAAAAAAACAAAAGTGAGTATCCTATGTGATCTTCCAGACTATCCTCTACATATATGCCAAATTTCATTGAGATCCGTTCAGTCGTTTAGGATACAAACTTCCTTCTTGCATCTGGTACACCTGGCTCGCTTTCGGGTGCTTGTGGTACCCAATCAGTCCCATTTGTACCAATTTTTGTTCCAGGTTTCGGTACGATACCAAATGCGATAGTCGGGGAGATGTTCCGTGCTAATGTTCGTGCTAATGGCTCCGCTCTCGCTATAACCCTCACTTGGCTCGTCGGCTTTGGTCTCACAACTGGTTTCAACAGTATGATAGATGCGCTTGGTGGTGACGTCACTTTCTGGATCTTCGGGGGTTCTTGTATTGTTGCATTCTTCTTCACGTACTTCTTAGTGCCGGAGACTAAAGGGAAAACTTTAAATGAAATACAAGAGATGATGAGCTAGTTAAGAATAATTTAATTGTTATAATTAATATTTACTAAAGGAGTCGCCTTAAGGTCGATTGATACATAAGGGGCTGTTTAAGTAACGATTAGTTATTGTCAGTGTGACAGTAAAACCCATTTTCCACTACATAACTAGCAGCATAATTGCTAAAGACAGTTTGCTATTAATCGATTAGTGAAAAACGGGTCTAACTATTATAGAATCGCGAATCGCCAATAAACTAGTTGCGTAGCGTAGTAAGGTAGAACCTTAGTGTAATTTGTTTAGATTTTGTCGTGTGAACAAATAAATATTTTGTTGTTTAGTGTGGTTGTTTCATTTTTACCAATAATAATTTTTATTGATACAGATTATTTAAAAAAACGTTTGAATGATATTCGATAAAGTTTAAAATAGAACACAGATATAATGAACGTTATGAAATTATAGGTACATGGGCCGATAGTTAGCATACTTCTATGAAGGCTATTGGAAAATGCCAGCTGCAGTCATTTGTACAATTTTTGTTTTCAAACTTTTATTAGCAAATTTTTGATGATTTATTAACATTTCTATTACTTTTCCAACTCAACTTTAGGCTTATGCTAGGATCTGTTTACGATGCAGCGACGGAAGCAACACGGTGCAGAGGGTACTGGTGCGTTCCTCTGCAAATCCCGGGACCCTCAAATCGCACCTGAGGGCGGCCAAGGTGGGGGTTTTTGGTGAATAAAAATCTCACATTGCCCTGTCTTTTATAAAAGACAGGGTATCTTTCGAAGATCCCCCCCCCCAAAACAAACAAAAGGATCTGTATACGATAATAGTCGAATTGCGGAATTTGAACTCTCGATCACGTGATTGGAATTTCGTACCCCTTACCAATAGGCTATTGGCGCTTTTCGATAAAGTCTAATTTGTTAATCAAACCGGTCTATATAGTTATGAAAAATCAATTTGTGTACGTTTGTGTTTGTTAGTGATATATTTTTCACCAACATTTAATTTACACTTGCCAGCTCACTATATAAATCCTATTTACTATAATTATTAAGTTAAATATGACCATATAGATAGATAGACAGATAAGCAGACGATCTGGCAGGTGGAGAAAATTAAAAAAAAGTCTTTTCAGATATAAGTAACGCAAATACATTTTGCACCTACCTCACTTTTATTATTTGGGTACATACACATACCAATATTATAAATATAAAACTTTGTATGGATATGTTACTTCAACGACTTAACGGATATTTGTTGTTTGGCACTGATGTAGAAAATAATCTGGAAGAAAACCGCTCAGGCGAAATCGCGGGCAACAGCTAGTTAAGTCTAAATAAATTCAGTGAGTGTATCAGAATCGGTTTTGTTTTTTTTTTCCATCGTTCATTTTCTGGTTGTATTATTTCTTTGTCAACATTCATTAGTGTATTCTACTTCGTGACACTTGCAAGAATGTTTTATAGGGTTAGATATATAATTGTAAAATAAAGAATATTGCACACGGAATATTTTTAATCTGTTTAAATGAAAAGACGCAAGATTAGATTCTAGTTATTTTCCAAATAAGTTTTTTTATGATGGATTCGTATTTGAAAACACAAATCCTTATTGTTTCTTGTGGTAAGTTTTTATTGTATATTTGAGTGTTAATAATCTATTAATACTATTTATTAATACGACTAATTTGTGAAATTTTTAATTCAAATAAATAATACATTACACGTATCTATGCAAATATGCCATTTAAATTCACCGGGTGTTTGAATGCATCTTTTCGAGTGAAATTAACTACTTTTATGTATAAAAATAATACTAAAAGATAATTTAATTAAACATTTCACATATGTATCTAATTTAAAAAATTATTGTCTGAGCTAGTAACATTTTTTTTAAGTTAACATCGGGCAGTTTATAGATGGGTATAGTGTAGGTTGGTCTGCACCTATAATACCCAAGCTACAAGATCCTGATCAAACGCCTCTCCCTGAACTGATCACAGATCTACAAGTGTCATGGATTGGATCCCTACTTTATGTCGGTGCTATAGTAGGTAGGTTTAATTATTATTTAAAAATCATCGATCTATATAAATGGATAGGTGATCCTTTTGTTCCGACTTCGAGTTCTCACCACCAAAAAATTGGCGCACATCAATTAGACACAAAGTACTATGGTTTATAACCTGTCCTTTAATTTACGTCAGTGTCAAAACAAAAGAATCCTGATTTTCTGACAGACATAAGGTAAAGTTATTAAAACATTTTCTTCTTTTGTTTTCATCTAGTAATAACCTAAGGGAAAGAATTTATATTTAAAATGTGGGTATTTCTATTTGACAAGGAATGCACCCAAAAGATTGCACTTTTAATAACATATCGACTCGTTTGTTCGCATTAAAAAAACGAATTTCAAAATTATTCACAACCGAAATCTCGTTTGCTAAAAAAAATAAACAACAAAACTTTTGCATAACAAGTGTATGGAATATACCAGGCAACCTTGACACTGAATCGTTAAATTTTATTACGTCTGTGCACAATAATAACAATAGGTCGGTAAGTGGTAAAAGAACAATAATTCTACGTTCATACATTTTTTGACATATTCATTTTACTCCTTATCCTACTCGTAAGGTTGACGCAACAGGTTTTTATCCTCCAAATAATTCTATCATATGTCTACTCAGTCATCACTCCCTTCTTTATCATATCACCTTTCACGCAATCCATCTCTTTCTAGGTCTACCTCTACCGGTGTACCTCCACACTCAACACTAACGTTTTCCTTGTTACGTGTGAATCATCCCTCCTAATATGCCCATACCATGCTAACCTTTTATTGCTTACGTTTCTTTAACATGTCTTCCATTTCACATTTATAGTTGTCAATCTGTTATCTTACTTCTCACTAATATTAATGCAAAGTTAGATGAATGGATGGATGTTTGTTACTACCTATATTTAGAACGGAACGGATCTCGCTGACAATTCGCACATACGTAAAACTTAATCTGGTAGAATAACTAAGCTGCTTATGTTTTTTTTTATTCCGCTCAGACTCTCTCGAGCGACAGTAGGTAATATTATAAAGAGGGCAATTTACATAACACGGGCTTCATAAAATGAGGGTTACCAGGAAGGGTATGGACATGACAGAAATGATAAGAGAAGTATATTCTTTACCATCAAATCCGCGGATTAGTTTTCCATATATAATTATAATAAAATAATTGTTTACTCTTAAAATCTCTTGTGAATTATCTGTATAGTTATTTCACAAGTAGCATTCGCCCGCTCTCCGTCCGCGTGGAATTAAAACTAAAACAAAAGAAAGTAACCTATGTGTGCTTTCAGACTATCGTCTATATCATACGTACACCTATTTTATACCTAACCAAATTATTTACAGATACAACGTGTGGGCTTATACTCGTAGCATTATAGCTCATGTTACGTTGAAAATTACACGGTCTGAATAATTCTGAATACTGAATAATTAAATTGTTAGCTGCAATTATTTTGTTTGCTTGTTAAACATGATACAGTAGAAAATAACTGCACTTTGTTCCATCAAAATTGGTCTTCAATTTGTAACTATATTCTAATACTGGCTGTTCCCGTGCTGCTTCATCCGCATGAAATTATAAGACTTTACTTTATTTTTTTTCAATTTGTCAATTGCAAATGTCAAAACTATTTACAATCTTGCTTCCTTAATGTTAGCAGCTTGTAGTTTATGGTCCCTTTTCCACATTAGGGTTTTTTTTCAATTGATTTGCCCCCTAAGTTTAATAGCGTGAAGATAGACTAAAACGTGTAGTTAATGAAAGAATTATTCAAAAACATGCTGTGATTGCTGACATCCTACTCCACGAAGTAGTGTGTGTTTAGATAAAATGTATCACAACAGAATTGTAGTTAATTGTAGTGTTCATAAACTATTAAAACCATTTGCCCTCTAGTAAATGATTGTAGATGACCTTCCAAGATGTTTCTTAAGGGACATTCTGAATCCCTACCTATTCTTTCAATTCTTTACTTTTGATAAAAGAAAGGAACAAAAGGATATTAATGTAGGTTCTTTATTTCTACGTGTTCCTATTCAGTGTGTGACCAATGTCTTGTCATGATGACAATAGTTTTATGTCCAAGTAGTAAAGGTTAACGCGTATTCGTCCACTCCTTGTCTATCACCAACGGCACACAGTGGGCTAAAATCTCAGCTTACATAGATATTTTAAGCTGACGTTTTGAGTTTATTTTGCTTGAATATCTAAACTAATGTTATAAAGAGGATAGAATTGTATTTTTGCATTATTATATATATTGTTATAACTCAAAAAGTATTGAACCGATTTCATAATTCCTTTCACCAAAAATCTACTTTATTGTTGAATAACATAGGCTATATTTTTAAATTTTAGGTGAACGAAGTAACGAGCAATAGCTAGTGCATTGTAACGTAAACCTTTGAAACAGTTGTATTTTTCCAAAGGACTCTAGGTCCTTGGATTTTACTTTAATTTTGTTATATTTCGTGGTTGTAGGTTAAGCCTGTCCCAACTCTGATTGATAGAGGCACAGATAGCTTAAAAGTTTGGTCATTGTCAGATAGAGTACCAAAATCAGATATTTCCATCATATATTTCATACGTTGGATTGTTATCTGACAAATTACAAAAATTGTGGGACAGGCCCTAATTGCTTTTTGTTTCTATTCCAGGTCCATACATACCAAGTTATTTGTCGAATATAATTGGAAGGAAGCCATGTTTGTTCCTGGGAGGTCTGTTAAACTTGACTGCGATAATCCTTATCGTGACCACAAAGAATGTAGCGATGGTCTTCGCTATAAGAATTATAAGCGGCCTCGGTATGGGAATGGTGACAGTTAGTAACCTCGTCTACGTTGGGGAAATTGCGTAAGTAATCATTTGTATAAAAACGTTGTCCCATTCATACACTTCGGAGAAAGAGAAAACGAGTGTTTTGTTTTTAACTTTGATGTTAGATAACATTTTTGCTAAGTAATAGAATAAACGAAAAAAAGCAATAAAAAGCACTGTTTAGTTGCATTTTGATTCTTGATAATATATGGAGGGTGCGCACTACCACTTTAGTTGTGCAAATTAACAGTTAAAAGGGTTGAGAAACAATCGACAATCGCACAACGGTTGTGCGATAGTTTCGTCAAAGATGTGCACACGCTCAAATAAATCAATATGGACATGGTATATTCAAATAAAACATATAACATTAACGTTATGTATTTGCTAACAATTACCTTTTTGTTAAATTGACGATATAATTGCAATATCAAAAGATAGGTCTCGCGTTTGAAGTTAATTTTTTTTATTTATTTAAAATTTTTATCAAAATCAGCCTGTTATTAAAAATAATGTAAACACTTAAAACCACTGCAATATAGTTGCTACAGCATATTCTATGGGATTTTAGATATAATATTGATTCCGCATCTAATACAGATTTCGATGAACAAAAACATGATATTTGTATCTTACACCCTTCAAACTATCGTCATATATCTGTATAATAATAACATGGGGTTTAAACATATTATTATCAAGAGCAACAGTTACTTGTTTATTTAAAAAAAAATAATATTCGTAACTCTGGAACACAGCTACAAATCTAGCCGAGTAACTGCTCGCCATAATCGCTCGATGACACGATGGGTCTAAAACTACTCGGTTTCTACACTTTATTAATTATAAGAGAGTGTATCCATTTTTAATTGATTGTCATTTATTTCCAGGTCAACTAACATACGTGGTATTCTTCTAACATCGACGTCTATAGTGGGAATATTTGGTACTCTAGCGGCATACACCATAGGACCTTTCGTTTCCTACGCGGCTACAGGTTATATAGCATTATTCATTAACATAATCCATGTTATTGGGATTCTGTTTATACCAGAGTCACCAGTTTATTATGCAATTAAAGGTGAGCAATCTTACAATTACTATAATTTAGTTGTACCTGCCAGAAAAAAATAGCAAAAGTGTGTATAATAACTTTTAATAAAAATAATGCAACTGGGAAAGTTAAAATTCATTGATCCCGAAAATTAGGCGGTCTTTTTTGTTTTTTAACATTGTTACGCTTCTATCCTAGATACAAATAACGTTATTTTTCTAATTCTAAAGACGTATCACATTTAGTCGACATTAAGAAAAATAAAACCATTAAGTTAATCTTTATGAACATTGTAAAACAAACAAATGTGTGACAAGATGAAAATTTATATTGTCAGGGGATATTTTTAATTTATTTAGGGTAAGCGAAGTATTACGGAGAATTTTGAAGAGAAATTTGTATATGAATTTTTTAACATGAAAATAGAGATAAAACGCAAAAAGCAAAGATTTTGGTTATTACCAATATAAATAAGCTTACTTATCAATTTTTCATGTGCTCTGAGAAACTGATTTTTAACTTGATGATTTTTAACTTTTGACTAAAATAATGTGAGATATCTTCTATGGATTAATTATATTATATATTTTATTTTAGGCAAAGAAACTGAGGCAAAGGAAACTCTACGTTATCTTGGACGAGTAGACGACTTAGAGAACGTATTCGAGTCTGTGCGAGGTACGAATCCGAATGAAGGCCATAGTTGGAAGGCCTGGATAAAGATCTTCACAGTAAAGGCGAATAGATGGTCACTTTTCATCACGTTAAGTCTATGTACACTGCAGCAGTTAAGTGGTGTTGCAGCGGTTTTATTCTTTGCCACGACCATCTTCCAGATTGCCGGATCTTCAATAAGGTTATTATATTTTTAATACAAACTTTAATAATGTACAAGCAATTACATTTGTGAGTTATCTCTCAACAAAGTTCAGTAAGAGACATTTATAACTCTATTATTTTCTTGGCGCCTGTTCAAATTGTCATAGCAAATTCTTAAATAAACATTAAAGTAGTTACTGTAAACAATTTATAGGTTGTAAGGGCGCGAAAGTTATTTAAATAAAAATAACACAGTTGACATTTAACTCTTCTTTATAGCTCCAAATTTATTTCATTGATTTATTTTGCTTCCAGGCCAGATTTAGCAACGATTATAATCGGCGCGACACGATTGGTAGCAAGTTTGATAGCGCCTACAGTTGTTGAGCGAGCTGGTCGCAGGATACTGCTGCTTGTATCAACCGCATTCTGTGCTATGAGTCTCGTAAGTATTCAAAAAATAGAGACAAAGTAGTCAACATCGCCACTATTTATTATTAGACATCATCGACATCACTGATATTTTGAAATTTTTGAATCAAGGATTAGCTATTTCTTTCTAGATAGTGTAGAACAGACACAACAAGTGTAGTTGTATCAAAACCCTTAATAAATCGCAAACAGTGTCCTTCAAAGATAAAGAACTTTAAATAACAATTAAAAGTTTTAGGTACTTACACTTAGTTTACTTGTTTTATTTACAAATTTAACAATTTATTGGAAATTTTTGTAAGTAGCTGCGACAAGAATGATTTTAATAACGAATCAATAATAATATATTTCGTTTAATTTCAGTCGATTCTTGGCACATTCTTCTATCTATCGCGAGTGAAGAGTCCGGTGATAGCAGACATCGGATGGCTCCCGCTCATGGCGCTTATTATGTACTTCTTTTCATACGAAATCGGTAAGATTTATACCTATTATAAACCAGATGCTTAAGTGGACACGTCGATTAGAAGAATACGCTTATAATCGACGTGCCTACTTAAAACTAATGCGCAACTAATGGTATTTGCATAATTGCTATTTTTTTTAGGTTTCGGAACTATGCCGAGTGCGTTAGTAGGGGAGATGTTCCGTGGCAACGCTCGAAGTACGGGTTCCGCGGTTGCCATGACAACGGCTTGGCTGATTGGTTTTGGCGT